AACGATTCTCCAAATACTACCACCAATCATGTGACCTGCAGGAAGTGGCGTGATCTGTATACCATGACCTTTACCTACAAAGAAAAATTAATTAAGTAAAACTCATTCTTAAATCATACAGTATACTTAGCTTCAATTTGTCTCTTTTAACATAAGGAACACAATATTAAATTTTGACAGCAATATTTGTATGTATTTTCTGAAATCCTAATAAGCAAGCTCACAATTTTGTACATTTCTACCGTATTTCATATATTGTTATTTTTAATCTAAAATTAAAGTGTCATGGTTTAAAGGGTAACTAATTCATTTGAAATGCCATAGCTATATAAAAACAAATAGGTAAACTACTTTCTTCTAGCTGACACAAAGTTTTTCAATGGGTGATTTCTTTCAACAATCACTTGAAAAGAGAGGCGAAGGATACCAAAGGGATATTCAGACTCATAAGTGGAAACTAATCTGACAACCCCATGGCTAAAAAAGAAAAAGACAAACAACAATATGAAACTGTAACATCATAGTTTTTATCTTATACCGGGGCCTCGGTGGCCGAGTGGTCTAAGTAGTTACTACTGTAATCACTAGCCAGTCAACACTGAGGTTGTGAGTTCGAACCCCGCTCGTGCGGGTGCACTCGACTCCAATGTTAATTGACTAGGATTGTCAGTTTTCCTATCGAAGGTCAGTGGTTTTCTCCGGGCACTCCGGCTTCCTCCATCAATAAAAACTGGCCGCCACGAAATAGCCCAAAAGCGGTGCTTAAAAGTGGCGTTAAAACACCAAAAATCAAAATCAAATCATTTATCTTATACCCACCTTTTAAATGAACTGTTTGTGAATATTTGAGTTGTATGATTTTATCAAAGGCATGGTCAACATCATCTAATGTGAAAATCTCAAAATCTGTAGTATTGTGACGTGACTGTAATAAAAAAATCGATATTTTTTATATACATTTCAGCATCTGTAGATGAATCTGACAAGTATGGTAATATTGTCGTACTCAAAAATTTCAATCCAAAAAAAAAAATTAAAATGTACTGTCCACATATCAATCTATAGTGTCTTTAGATTAGTCACAGGACATTTGTGTTTTTTTACCTGTAGCACAAAAGGACATTTGTGATCTGAACATGACTGACATTTGCACTTTAAACTTTGAAATACCTTTGCGCTCTTTACCTGTTAAATCAACTTTCGTTCATTGCTTAACATTAACACAATCATGAAACACATTTTTCCAGAGGTTATTGATGTGTAAACTGGGCCACTACCTAATACATAATGATTATAACAAAAGTAATAATATAATATGATAACTTTATATGTTACAGCTTTTTATTCATTGGATATTTTATCAACAAAAACTACAATCTTGAACCAAATTTCCTACTTTTACAATATAAAACATTTAAAAAAACAAACTTACCTGATAGAGATCATACATAAACATTTGTCCCATTTTATATACAGGAACTGTTGCATATATTGGACAACTTAGTCCTGCCTTTCCTACCATGTAAGGTAATGCACCAAGGTGAGCGTGGTCTGGGTAACTCAGTAACACTGCATCAATCTGATGTAAGTGTCTGAAATCATCAAAATAGTTCACTTATCGAAACAAAAATTAAAATATTCAAGTACACAATAAAAAGTATCAAAGTTTTACCTTAAATTTTGTCTCGGTAGAATCGCTAATCAAAATTCCAAGGATAGGTTTATTAATGACACTTGTTTGTATTATATTTATATGCTTCTGTCTATACATTTGATACACCACCAATATCAGAATTCCTTCTTATAAATACATCGGACTCGGACTTCTCTTGAACTGAGTTTTACTGTGCGTACTGTTGTACGTCTGTTTTTTCTACATTTGCTAGAAGTATAGGGGGAGGGTTGAGATCTCAAAAAACATGTTTAACCCCGCTGCATTTTTGCGCCTGTCCCAAGTCAGGAGCCTCTGGCCTTTGTTAGTCTTGTATCATTTTTAATTTTAGTTTCTTGTGTATAATTTGGAGTTTAGTATGACGTCCATTATCACTGAACTAGTTTACATATTTGTTATGGGGCCAGCTGAAGGACGCCTCTGGGTGCGGGAGTTTCTAGCTGCATTGAAGACCCATTTGTGGCCTTCGGCTGTTGTCTGCTCTATGGTCGGGTTGTTGTCTCTTTGACACATTCCCCATTTCCATTCTCAATTTTATCATACCTATTGGAATCTTTGAAGTAGGAGAAATCTTCAGCTTTCCCCATTTACCATTGTAAGATGAGCAAACAACACATTAATTCATAAATATGCTTAGCGCATGAGATATTTATCAGTTCACAATTGGTCACAAGTTGAATATTTTTCATTATTTGAATTCTTTGATTAGTTAATCAATTTTTACAAATTTGTTAACATAATAGTTTCACCCTAAAACAATAAGCCTAAGGTATATATAATCTTCCCATTGATAAAGATGCACATTTAATGCTAGAAACATCATAAAACAAACAAAACTGAAGACAGCAAGCATCAATAAAAAATTTCTGTAATTTGATATACTAACCTTTTTAACTGTTTTATAAAATCCATATTAAAGTCTTCATCCCAGCCACAATCAAGAAGGAAATGGAATTCATCCACTTGCAGAATGTAACAAGGAGGAGATTCATCATGTGCCCCTGACAGTGGCTGCAGTCTAATAATAGATGTCATGTTGATGCCTGTGCTTGTTTAAAGTTGATACGGGCTCATTAATCAATCTGTCATCATTTACATCTGAAAAAAAATTTACCAAATTCATTTGAAAATCTGAAACACACAAATTGCTTTGTTGGTTTTTTTTCATGGTATTGTTTGTACACTCCAAGGTCTTTTTCACAGGAAACAAATATAATTTTTCATGCCCCATTGTCATGACAACTATGATTAAGACATTATTGAACATTACATGACATCTAAGTATTATTTTCTTTTGTTTTATTGTTTTTGGGTTGCTGTCTTGATGACATACATGTATACCCCAACATCTCCTTCAACCAATAGCCAAAGCTGACTTAGATGTAACTTTCTTTGGTTTTTTTTTAAGGTGGTACATAACACTACAAGGAGATAACTCTGTAAAAATCAGCTGAATGTTTTAATCATGTTCTATTGTTAATGAAATATTAAGCTTCTCAATGATCAAAATGAGTGTTTGTCAAACTGCTTTATTTCCAATGAAATTTTTCCGATAAAGTGTGTGGTTTGAGTTTTCTGAAATTTTTATATTTTTGTCAAAAGGGTCAAAGTAAATATTTTGTCAAAATTTTATGAAAATTAAACGAGCCAAATTAATTTTAGTCAAGGTGTTTGGTACCACCTTAATTGGGTTGCTGTGTCATTGATGTATACCCACCCCACATCTTCTTTTATCTGTGTCTTTGATGTATACCCACCCCACATCTTCTTTAATCTGTGTCGTTGATGTATACCCACCCCACATCTTCTTTTATTCAAATTTAATTGTACAACACTTTGCAATAAAAGTTGTCAATGTAAATTCAATGTCTATTTTGGCAACCTTGAATTGTTGGGTTGTAGTCTCATTGATGGCTTAAACTCTTTATGACAGGTAAAAGTTGCTGGGGTATAGTAGAATGAATCATACATTTTGTTAATTATAGCCTTTTGACTTCTATAAATCTTCAGAAAATAATTCTTAAAAATTCATTTTTGCAAATAAACATTTTTTTTCTTGATGTATGTTAATGTATGATATATACGAACTCTGACTATGAATATCATAATTTTAGGCCAATAATAAAAAAAGTTACCCATTAGGTCTCTATGTTACTCCTATTTTTTTAATATAAAATACTTGACGGACATGATGGAGTAAGTATGAATAGTGTAACAGCCTTCCATTCAAAACAAAAACATATTGCTTTATTTAATGTTATTAAACACAATTGTTAGCAATTCAAAACATACTTTTGTTTGAAAAAATCTTTGAGATGCAGCAAAATTTGACCAATGTCAAATCTTCAATTCATTCAGATCTAGCTGCACAACCATAGCTCTTATGGTCCTTACATGTATGATATTTTTTGACAATTTGCATAGGTAGGTACAAATTTAATTCAGACCACAAGCATGGCAAGGCAAGGGAATACCACCTTAGCACTTACCATGCAAAAATGCTTTGAAAAATAACAAAAAGGTATAGATGCCTGAAAAATTTGATTCTTAAAAAGTATTAATGTGATCCTTCAATTTTCCATGAAGTCTCCCTGTTGGGGCTTCCCTTCTCCCAGAAGTCTCCCTGTTGGGACTTCACTTCTCCCTGTTTGGTTGCCAGGGAGAAGTCACTTCTCCCTATAATTCAGAAGTGTGGTGACCCCTGCAACCTGAACCTGTCCATAAGGGTTCATGTTCAGATAGTCTTTGTGCATATATAAATTTACCATTATAAAGATTATATATATATAAATATTATATATTCTTACAATTTTAATTTCATTTGATATGTATTCTGTCATTCATCGGATTTTCTTTCTTTGTTTGTTATAATCTTTATGCCTCTCGAGGCCCAAAAATTGCCAAAATTGGACAATAAAATTTATCTTATCTTATCTTATATGCAGCATATTAGTAATCTACCACCCATTTCAAGTGACACACTAGCACTTTTATTACAACATCAAAAGAAGATTGACAGATAATTAAATAACAACTTTACCATCATCTTACTAAATGTTTTATCAACTTAAGAAATTTTCATCATATTCATGTTTTCAAGGCAGTTTCTGGGTCTATGGATGGATAAAACTATTTCTTTTTATTAAAATACTTGATTTCACCTTTTACTGTTTTTGGCTGTGTAACAAGTGCAAAGTAAATCGAATAAAAACTGTATTTAGGCGGCCAAGAACTGAAGAACTCACGTTGGTTTGGTTTTTAACCGGATGTAAACTTTATATCTTAAAGGGAGCTAACTTCGGTAAAGTCATTTCCGGTTGAACTTTGTTACTGATGCAGAACTTATGATCACTTATGAAGTAATTTTTAGATGGACTTGAAAGTTTCTTTTCATAACCTGGTTTTAATTTGGCGTCCTCAAATATGAAAGTGATGAATGATGTTTCTATTTTTAGTCTCAACATTTGCAATACTTACTTGTGCAGTTCTGATTTTCTTTCTGAAGTTTTCATCTGATAAACAACATCATCAACAAGTGAGTTTCTGTACAAAAAAATAAGTTATAAGATTTGACGTCAGGATAATTTTAAATCAAATATATGTTGATGCAGCTCTATGGTTATGAGTTATTGAATTTAATAGATGTTGTGAAAGTAATGAGACTTTTAATCATGTTTATTTTCCATTTATTTTTTTCATGTTAGAAGTATGTCATATGGGGATCTGGATGGGGGGTTTACAGAATTTGAGAAATGGACCAAATATAAAGAATTGAGAAAAATGGGCAAAAATTTAAAATTATAGAGAATATATGAATAATGGATGGAAAAAAACAAAAAAAGAAAATAGAAAAACAACCTGTAATAAATTACAGAATATAAAAATGAAGATCCTCCCCCATCTCACATTACTTCATACTACTTTGAGGTGTTTTGTTTAGCAAATTTACTTCATCACAGTCTCTATAATTAAGCATGAACCTCTATGTAATTGTTATGAAGTAATAATTCAAATTTTAAAATTGAAATGTAAATTTAATGTACATGTAGATAATCAACCCTTAAATTGATGCACATACATGTACATGTAGGCCCTGTCATTAGGAAATACATTATCAATGTTTTGCTAATATTTCAATATTAGACATGACTATGATGACCATAAACCTTTAATATTGTTAATTTTTTTTAGCCTTATCATACTGAATCCCCTTCAAATAAAATGCTCTCTCTCTCACTCTCCATTTAACTTTTTAAGTAACATTTTATCCAATATATATTCTCTCACAGCAAAAAGTGGTCATTTGACAAAATTTTTCAGCTCAGTGTCCCGACATTAACCAGTACTAAGACTTCCGAAATATTTTTGTTTATAACTAGATTTTTTTAATCATGTTAATATTATGTTGTACATATTATGACTATAAAAATAAATAAGGAGATGAGGTATGATTGATTTACAGATTGATTTAACCAAACTGTATAAATTTAATGCATTTTATTTCTTTAATAGCAGACCAATGATATCCAGGTAGATGCAGTAACCTTTTTAAGATCAGTGAAGAGTACTAAGGTATGTCATCATGTCTACATTTCTATTTTCATTTTTTCAATATTTTGCCCTGCCTATGATGGATGGGGTTATAGTTAGGTTTTCAGGTCTGTGTGACATTCCCATTTTTCAATCCAGTATCAGGTTAAAGTTTTTGGTTAAAGTAGTTTACCATGAAGGCGTGGTCACATCATCTTGAAACTTGTTTTTTTTTAGGTCCTTTTTGGTAATACAACTCTTCAACTGTTTAAGTTCTTGTACATCCTTGGCTTCCAAATAATCGGCTTTGAGCGTTCCTGATGAAGGTAAATCCAGAAAAGCACTTGGGACGCATTTTTTGTACACTTGTGTATTATGATGTGAAATTCTTAAAATATATATGTTAAATTAGGGTTTTTACCCAGTTTTCGCAGTTCACTGAACATGGGAATATGATGGTGTGAATCAGATTAAAACTTTTTGGTGAGGTAGATTTCCATGAAGTTATGGTCACATCAATTTGAAACTTCATACACTTGTTCCTTATGGTGTGCACTTTTAAAAATTTATGCTACATGTAATTAAGGTTTAGACCCAAATTTTGCAGTTCACTAAATATGTTTCAACATGAAAATGTGATATCAGGTCAAACTTTTAAAGTTTTTAGCAAGTTAGTCATGGTAACTAAAGTACCATGAAGTTGTGGTACACATGCTCATAGTGATGTGAACTTTTTAAAATATGTACTAATTTAGGGTTATGACCTAGATTTTGTGGTTGACTGAACCCTATAGTTAGCTATAAATACCCTGACATGATAAAATGTGAAACAATTCAAACAAGAAAACCAACAGCTTGAATTATAATTGAACAACTATGAACGATAGGAACTAATGACAGCCACTGAATTACAGATTAAGGACAGACACTTTAAAATGTTTTGAGGTTTAATATGTTCAACATGCTTGTGAGTGCTTAACCCTCCAATTAACCTTGGACAGTGGTGTAACAGCACAACAGTGGTGTAACAGCACAACATCAGAACAAACTGTTTACCATAAATTTGTGATCACATCAAGTTAAGAATTAATTCACTTGTTCATTATGATGTGCACCTTTTAATGAATAAAGACAAATATTTACAACAACACAAATACATACATGTATGTAACCAAACACATCAATGTTAAGTGGTTTATTTGTTTGGTTAACATGTGTTGTTGGTTTCTTGCTTTCATGTATTTTCATTTACCTTACCTAACATCTCCTTTTTATCCACAAATTAGTACAATGTAATTGAAATTTTTATTGTGTTTCATAGGGGATATGTGTTTCTTATACAATGTATATACTTACAAGGGGTGACAACTCAAAGGCCTAATTATTATATGGATAAGACAGACAAGAAGAAATTGTTTACCATGTGAAAACCTTGATTGGCTTGAATAACAGTAGATTTTATTATATCATTGTATTATTTTGTTACTGGCAGGAGCTATCCTTAATGACCAATTTACCTGTTGATAACTATGCATAGATTAGTTTAATTAACTGCCTATCAAAAAAGTAAACAACATGAAATGTGCCTCAGGCTCAAATGTTGCAGTACGGAGATTTGTAGTTATAATAGCTAGAAAATATTCATTTCACTTTAAAGCCAAAATAATACACCTGGTTTTCTCCCACATGCAGTATTTTGTCAGCAATGTACAGATATACATATATGTTGCAGTTTGTACATGTACACTTAAAACCACTTGGAGTGGAGTATACATCCACATACAAAATAAATACATTTGTGATGATTCGTCTTGTTTTTTTGTTTGCAGTCTTTTCCATGATTAAATTATTATTGAAAAATAGTTTTGTTTCAAAACTGATTTTTGATTAACTCCTGGTATTTTGAAAAAGTTTTTTATGTAATTCAAATAGAATTGACCAATTGCAAGAAATTTGGTGTAACCTGTAATGCACATGATGTATGTAACTATGAATTTTATTGGACAAACATATTACATGAAAGTGCTTGCATCTTTTTTTGTCAGTTTTCACTATTAATCAAAACCACAAATTTTAATTCTGTAAACAGAATATTTTCTAGGTTGTTATTTTTATAATCTTTTCTTAAGGAGGTACATACTCGTGCATCAAACAAAAAATGTGCAATTTACCTCAGTATTGTTAATTTGTATAAACTATATATGTGCATTGGATATTTTTAAGGATTTCATGTGATATCAAAATAAGGAAAATATCTCATATATTGGAAAATTTTCCATGTTTACAATACTCAAGGAAATTAATATATTCATTTGATACCTGAGAGCATCTTAAACTACACAAATTGAAAAACCCAAGGACCATAAACTTTTCTACTAGGGACAAAAGTTTAAATCTATAATAAAAGCAGATAGATAGTATATCTTTGCCAAGGATAAACATGATAAATGTATGTTTTGTATTGTTAGTATTGTAAACTTGATGTTTACAACTATAACTTGTGCAATTTCATATATTAAGTTGTGTGGTTGTGATTAATCGCTTTGTGTTTCAATTATATTGGACCATGCAATTGATTTTTCTCCAATCCCATTAAGAAAAGGATATGATTAAAATGATTTATTTAATTTCTTAACTGAAATGGGTAAACTATGGCATTAATGTTACTTTTGAATGATGAATACTTATTCAAATGTTTTTGATAGATAAAAAACATTTTAGAAAGTCTAGTTGAATTGAAAATTTAATAAGACATACAGACAAAATAACGACATCTCAAGAGTTCTTTAACAGGACACATGCATGCACTAAGAAAAAACAATACAATACTTTTATGGTACTTAAAACCTGAAGTGGATACACTACAATCAAGTAGATTAATTGTAATAATAGGAAGTTACCCACATGTTATGAAAGGCTTAACAAGAGACAAACAAAAAAAAACCCAAATATCTTAAGCAGTTACTCTCAGAAGTGCAGTCAAACGTGCTAATAACATCACCTGTTGGCTCCATTAAAGGAAAACCTGTTTTACCAGCTGAGCGTCTTCTTGTCCTGCTGTACTAGTGATATCTATGAATTTTAAACCTTAATTCAAAGGTCACTTTTCTTATAAGGTCAGTCTTTTTCTGGTTCCAAGGGTGACCTTAAAGTATATTTGATTGTATATGTGGTGGATATGCATGAGTCAACATTTCAAAGATCAACACATGGTCTGATAGCCTGACTTGATACAAGCGCAAAATGTTTTGGGGTTAAACCAGATTTATATACATGGATCCACAAACCAAACCATTGCTTATCTAGAACATATGTTGCAAAACTAAAACACACACTAATAAATGCACAGTACAGCTACCAACAGGATGACCACTTACTTAAGCTTGAACAAGGGGAGAAAAGCATAAGATTTGGAAAGCAATGTCAAAATGTACACACTACTAAAGGAGACAAACTAAGGTAGCTAAAGCTGTGGATTGGATTACATCATTGTCTCAGTGGTATTAGTTACATAGTACACATTCATATGTTATCTGAACATGCATGAAAATATTTGCCACTGGACATTAAGCAAACAACATTTAAATTCGTGGGATACCAATTTTTGTGAATTTCATGGGTACAGGTAAACCATGAATTTTAATGTTCAAAGAAATCCATATTTTCTATAAGCTTGTTTGCAGTCAATGGCAAAACCACAAAATCAAATATCCACGAAAATACTGTTTTGAATTGGTATCTACAAAAATAAATGAATTCATTGTATGCTTGAGACCAAAAATTGGAGATCAAATACAATTAATTTTTCTTGAGCATTATATCCTAATGAACCTAAAAAGAATTTTAAATCTAAGGCCATACAGGTGTCAAACACAAAACTGAAACATTTTCCAATTTGTTTTAACAAATATGAATATAAGGTGATGACCAGCACACACCAAGAAAACAGAGACTTAACTTTTAAACCTGTTGTAAAAATATTTTCATTCCAGCCATTTCCCATAAGTTCAGCATTAGGTTGGAAGGTATACAGTTTGTGTACTGACACCAGAATATGGAGAAGAAATATTATCGTAGACAATGGTGGGAACAGGGTTCAAATACTTGGATGTTATGTTAAACTCCCAGCTCCAGTTCAGGTTGGTAATTTATGAATTATATTGTAGTAGTTATAGTTATGCACTGTCGGATTGTTCCTGCAAAGTATTTGTATATTTTTTTAACCCAACTTTGCAACAGCAAGGATTGAATTTAACCTTTTTTTACAAATTTAAAAAATAAGGAGATGAGGTATGATTGCCATTGAGACTGCTATCCACCAGAGACAAAAGGACAAGGATGTAATTATAATACAAAAAAAGACATCTTGCATTCATATGTCTTTGTTATGAAGCAGTTTAAAACAGAAAAAAAACACAATTGCCATCAATTGTTAATAAACCAATTAACTTTCAGTTTAATATACTGTAAATTCAGCAATTATTGCATGCATAAATTATTGGGAATTTTGTAGAATGGGCTAAAACTAGAGATTAATTATTGCAATATCAAGAAAATCTGCCTACAGATATATGTATAGGCTATAAGAATGCAAGTTCTTATTATTGCGATACTCATTAAGTTGCATTACTCGCATTGATAAAAACTTCACAATAATTTCTGAATTTACAGTATGCATGCATCTTATCTACAATGTAGGTGGCCAGTAAGGTCTTCAAGGATGTAACTCAATTTGTTGAATGGCGTCCTGGAGTAGAGTCTACAAGCGCCTGTGTAAATGGCTCATCCAAGGAGTATAGAAATGTGTCACATGACCTCATCAACATTGTTACAGCCAATCAGAAACTCAGTAAATACTCTGTTGTGGTGGAACAACAAAATATTGAAAGGTACATCAATTTCAAAATGCCATTGATTTAATAATGGAAACTTTTTTATTTAATCATTATTTTTGCAAGTAATGGATGAATTCCACTCGTTAAAGGTCCACTAAAAATGCCAAATTTAAAGAAATGTATTTTTTTCACTACTGAAATGAACCAGATTTATATGAGTAGAAAAACTATTAACAGTTTAAAAAAACTTTTCAAGTTGAATTCCAACAAAAAAAGCCAATTTGAAAAATCAGATGGTTTGATATGATATCAACATAAAACATAATTACCATAATTACAGTGAATTCATTATTATTTGTGGGACACCAATTTGTGGGTACAAGTTTATCACAAATTTAAATGTTCAAAGAAGTAAATATTTTCTATATGCTTGTATGGAGACTTGGTCAAACCACGAAATAAAATATCCACTTAAATACAATTTTTCCTTTAAATAATTCATGAAAACAGGTATCCACAAAAATAAATGATTTTTTCAAATAATACATTAAAACTAAAAATCTATTATTGTATAATAGGTTTTGGAAGAGAGAAGATAATGGTTGTTTTTGGATGTTAGAATCTGGTGACAGAGGATTACTACTTTACATTCTTCAACCTGTTGAAGGTAATCATGAAAGTAACATGTGTTACATAATTACAGTGTCAGTATATTGTACCCAATCTAGGTGGGTTCCATCTAGGCCCAGGTCAAACCTTTGAATTTGAATTTGATTTTACTTGTAATATTTGTCACTGGTGTTAAGCATCTGACAAACAATTGGCCACTCTAAGAGAGCAAAAGTATGCCAAAGACTCTGAATCTGATTTCACTTGTAATATCTGTCACTGAGTGTTTAGCATGTGACAAACAATTGGCCACCATAAGAGAGCAAAAGTATGTTTGATGTCCTTCAGAAACAGACTAGCTTTTGTCAGAAACTTTTTTTGTACCATGAAATGAAATATATACAGAGTAATTGATAATTTCATATTTTCCAGAATCAGACATTAAAAATGTACTTTTTAAACATAAACAAATTCAGAAATTAATTTAATTAAAATGGGGGTACATTCTTCATACATGATATAGTCATTTTTGAATATCACAATTCTTATTTTTGTCAACTCATCGGGTTGAACAATATTTTTTAAATTATAGCTGACAATCAGTAATTTTTTATGTTGGAATCCTATTCTTTTCAATAGATGTTGATGCGATAGATTTGTCAAGTCCAGATGACATTGATTTTTTTTCATGTTCAATGTCACAAACAATATAATAACATTGTAGTAAAAATGAATACCTGTATTTTTTCTTATGTTTAATTTTATCATGCCCACCCATGATGGTAAAAATAAAGTTTTTCTGTCAAATTTTGCACACAAAAATTATTTGATCTAATCAAGTATTTTTCAATGGAAGACAATTTTGATAATGGGCCCAATGTGATCATTGTTTTCCATATCTTAGAAGCTAGAATCTACTTATTTTCTATTTGACTGATACAGTACAAGTCTATTTCAAAAATGGGCTAACTTTAGATAATTATATAGTTTCTTAACTTCGACCAATACTGTAGATTCATTTATTTTTCTTGGATATTTGATTTTTGCGGTTTTGCCATAGTCTGCATATCTGCCAATATAAAGGAGTAGGTCAGGTAAGGGCCGATTTTGGCCTCAAAATTCAAGTTCATCTGATGAAAGATTTTGGATACTTTTTAAACACTTAAGTGTCTACTTCAGTCGATTCAATCAGTTTATGTGAAAGGTTTGAACCGATTTAGTCTTTAAAGACGCCCAAATTCAAGCTTAAATATGAAAAATCTATCAAATATGCCATAATATGTCACTTTTCAGATGGTTTTTGTCAAAAATGAAAGTGGCCGCATCCGTGTTCATTCTAAACCTTTATATATGTTATGTATTATCATCAAATACAACTTACATTTAAATATTAAGAATGAACACAAATGCGGCCACTTCCATTTCAGACGGAAACCGTCTAAAAATTAACCAAAATGCTAAAATTTCGAAGATTTCAGTTATTTAGCATGACTTCATGATGCTAGTACCCGAAACATGTGCATTGTATTATCAAAAAACAGCCCATATGTATGTAACAGAAGTATTCTTCTTTCCAATGAATAGTTAAAAGTTTACATTTTAACAATTTTGTAAAACTGCTATATTTTGGGGCCAAAAAGGGGTCTTACTGAACCTACTCCTTTATCAAGCTTGATTTGCACTGTTCAATTGGGCCTATTTCCTTTCATTAGTTATGTCCCTTGAACTATCCCAAATTTTAGGTTAATTTCTCAATAAATCATTATCTGAAAAATAAAAAAAAGTTGGTCTTGAAGTAGGACTTTACAATTTTGGAACATAACAACCATGAAGTAAGGATTAAGTTTAATATTCACTTTGTTACCATAACAACTATTACTGAGCTGCACCTCTGGTAAAATCACTTTCCAACATTATAACTTGAGTTCGCTTTCTTTTTCTTTTTACTTTCCAGATGTTGATTGTTGTTGTTTGACCATAGTGAGTCATTTTACATTCCCTGTCACTCTACAAGACAGTGCTACCACCATTTCTAGTTATGCTCAGTCAATAAAAGATTATATGTTCTACCGGAAGATGAAAGTGACCCCTTTATTGAACTTTCACATTCCTCAAAACGTGGCAGTGATTGGTGCAAAAGAAGCCTATGACAGAACTGTTGTCACATCTACTGGGATGGATGATCTCTTAGATTCTTCTACTTATTCCTCGAGTGATGATGAAAATTCTGATTCTTTCTACAAAAAATTTGAAGGTCTTCATCCAAGAGAAAAACACAAAATTTTACAAAAATCTAATTTCATTCTTCATGTTAAATCGCACGACCAAAGACTAAGATCTCAATCTGACACAAATACCGGTGATGTTAAAACTAATATCGTAAAACAAAGATCTTCAACACTACCTAAAGATGTAAAATCCTGTAGAACTGATCAACACAAAACTTCTACCAAGTCTTTAGATTTGGAAAGGAAAGTTCACAATGAGAAAATAGATCTTGATAGTTCTAAAAGTAGCATAGATGATAATGTTTTTATTGATGATTCTACAAAGGATATGAGAAATACTCAAAATGAGAGTCAAATTTTGCCAAAATCTGACAATACTCAAAGTTCTGTGATACCTCAAACCTTGCCTCCACAAAATGGTGCTCTTAATACTCGCAATAATGTGCCTTCGTCTAACAAAGAAAGCATCTCAAAACTTCCTCACATATTGGAGAAAGAGCCTTCAGATGATGCTATAATCGTTCCACAGAATAAAAACCAAGATACTGAACAAAATAATGGTGCTAAGAAAGAGAGAGTTTCTGGTATGGATTCAGATCATCAGAATAGGTCTGAAGACCAGAATGTTAAACCACAGACACAGTTGCTGTCTTCCCCTGATGATATCAGATATATGACCCTAGCCAACCAAAGTGCTGCTGATCTTCTAGGAGAGGTAGATATTTGTAATAAAACTGTGCTTTTATATAATTTAAAACATAGAAATAAGAAAATGTGGTATGCATAATTTGTTTAGGGGCCAGCTGAAGGACGCCTCCGGGTGCGGGAGTTTCTCGCTGCATTGAAGACCCATTGGTGGCCTTCGGCTGTTGTCTGCTCTATGGTCGAGTTGTTGTCTCTTTGACACATTCCCCATTTCCATTCTCAATTTTATTTTTTCACATAACAACTAAAACTTTAAAGACAAGGACAGCTGAAATGCAAAAAAAAAAATACATGAGAATGACACAAGCAGTGTTTCAGAGATGGGAATAAAATTGTGATATGGGGTCATGTTCATTGAGGCTAATTTCGCAAAACCACATCACATGCATTATGTTTAGGTTTGTTTGACTTTGATATCATACTATTTTGTTGTGTTGATACACACACACACACAACACCCACACACCTATATCCAGTACAGAAAAAAATAGTGGATTTAACTTTAGTAGTGAATTTAGAAATAGCCTATTTGGAAACTAGTTTTGTTTGTGCATAAGAATAGAGAAAGAAAACAATTTCTACTTAACTTTAATGTGTATTAAATCAGTATTCAGTTAAAATAAATCAAAAAAATCTCTGCTTTATAACAATGTGCCAAAAAATACCTGAAAATTGGTGAACTGATGTTTTATGCACTAGTACTGAATGTTTTTTTTTTTCAGGCTTTACAACACAAAAACTATTCCTGTTTTAAAGTTATTTTTTAAGTGGTTGATTTTATTGTGTTTTTGTTCACAAATGTAAGATGTAGAAAACTTGCCAAAAAAGGCAATTTTATTTATTTGAATTTGATTTAAATTTTACCTGTGGCTAAAGTTCTGCGTAGGTAACTTTGGTTTTCATTTATGTGAATTTTGATTTTAGGTAAATTTAAATAATATTTTCTGTTTAACTTTCAATGCACTTTTAACATAAACTTTCAATTTATGACAGTAATGCAAAATTTAGAACAAAATAACAAAGCATGAGTTAAATTTTATTTTTACAGTATTTTCAAGTGTCAAATATTGATTTGAAGAAACCTGTGAATCAGCAGACGGCAATATCTGGGGGCTGGGGGTAAGTAATATACTTCCTTTCCTGAAAGGCCTCTTTGGTCTCATGGTAACATACTTGCCTTTATCGTCAATGTGTACATTTTCCCTTTGATCTTACTGCCTAATATTTTTCTATATTATGGACAGGACCTGATACTGGAAAATATTAGGCAATGACGTCACTTAGCAGTGCAGCAAAGTCGTATCTTCATGTCCATCTGCATCAATTTATCAATGAAATGCACACGACTTCATTCATACAACCAAACAACTATCACAAAGATTTGAACTCATAAAAGTAGTTTTACTGACAATTTCATTTATTTCAGCCATAAGCATATTGTTAAAACAAAATTGCCGATGAAAATGTTAATGGTATTTTATTTTTTGATACTGACTTCATCAGCTTGAATATCAGCATGCCCTTCCATGCTCGCTTGATATTCTTGCTGATAAAGTCAATATCAAAAACAAAAAATGCCATTATTTTAAATTTAGAGAAAAAGTTGTGGGTTTCACCCCAGCTCGATCAAACCAAAGACTTCAGAATCATTAAAGGTACCAGTATTCGTTGTTTCTCTATCAAGCATGAAGCATAAGATCATTGACTGGTCCAAACAGGGTTTTAAGAAGGTGGCATATCTTTTTGTGGACTGTTACCTTGTGATCTAACACATGAAAATCTGATATAGCTTTCTGGTCTATTACAAAGCAGTGTATAGATTTTGAAATGCTTTGATATTAAGAAGATGTGGTAGGATTGATATTTGGTATCCAGTTGCATTATCATTGGCACATCTCATTTCCATGGAGATTATTTGGCCCTGCCCCCTCAGTCATGGTCTATTGACTTTGAAACTTTTGTTTGTTTACATGTATTACTTTGTGATTTGGTATGTATATGGGGAACGACTAGTAGTAGGTCAATGATATTTGGTATGCAGTTGTATTAGCATTAGCACATCTTATTTCCAAGCAGATTTTTGGCCCCGCCCCCTCAGTCATGGTCTACTTTTACTTTATAGTTTACATGTATTAGTTTGTGATTATGTCAGCTTATGGGGAACCCCTAGTATGCAGTTGTATTAGCATTGGTACATCTCATTTTTTATGAAGATTATGAGGCCCCTGCCCCTCAAACATGGTCTATTGACTTTGAAACTTTTGCTTAATTAACATGTATTAGTTTGTGATTAGGTCAGTTTATGAGGTACCACTAGTGGTAGGTCAATGATATTTTTTATGCATATATATTAGCATTGGCACATCTCATTTCCATGGGCCAAGTTTGAATGGAACCAGAGTTCTGACTAGAGTTCCATATGAACAGTAATTAATTTTGAACAGTAATGTCTCTAGATTACCAGAAGTACAAGGCCCCTACTCTGGATATGTTAACATTCAAAATTTGATTGGATTGACGTCATACCATCCCTATGTACTCTAGAGTTCCATTCGAACTTGGCCATGGATATTTTTTGGCCCTGTACCTTCAGTCATGGCTCATTGACTTTGAATATTTTGCATAACTAACATGTTTAAGTATTGCTGTTTTAATTTCAACATTTGCATTTTACTATCAAAATAACAAAAAGGCAAGACATATCTCTGTGTTAACAGTTTATTTAAATGTACATTTATTGTACCATATTTACTTAGGGGACAACAAAAAGACTATACTTTACACATGTAGCTGTTTCACTGTCTCATGTACAGTTCCCAAAAATCTTTTTTTTTGACAGTTTTGAGTTTTGCTTATTATTGTAGATTCTGTGGATTAGAGAATGATGTTGTCATACTGAAGAAGACACCTGCTGATGGTAGCAACATATTCAGGTACACCAATTATTCTTAAAACTTTGGATGAGGTTATATAAATAAAGATAATGATTCATTTATTGTTGTTGGTACTAAATTATGTTGATTCCAATAAATTGTATTTTCATCGATACTTTATTTCTTGGTTTCAAAAATTCTGTTTATCATCTGTATAATATAAAAGATTGTAATTCTTTGAACATATAAATTCACAGTTTACCAATACACATAGATATAATGAATCCTATAACAAAACTATACCATAAACCAACTTATTTTCTTATTATTATGTGTTAAGTTCCCTCTTACCAACTTTGATGCTAATTTATTTTTGCGAGCTTCTCATTTCGTGATATAATTATATAAGGAAAGATCTCAGTTTCACATATTTGTGACGATTTAAATTCTTGGTATTTTTCTACTCTCCAAAGTCATGAAAATTAGTTGATTGACAGTATGTGTTTCCATTTTTATTTCAGTTACATGGGTAAAGGATTGATTCATGCCTCACCACAAACTGTGTTAGAAACAGTTAAAAATCCTAGGACTAAATTTACATATGATGAAACTTTAAAGGTAGAGAATTTAATTGACAATTCATATATACAGTCCACGTCATTTCTTTTTGAAATTTTATTTAATCGATTAATGGTAAATGAAAGCAAATAACAAAATGCAATATTTAAACTTTCTTTTGGAATGTTTATTCAGACTTGCATGCTTGATATAAATAAAAGTTATGTTATTATAAGTACAAAAAAATGTATTTATTTTGATGCATGTAATCTTTCAAAAAAATCCTTTTTAATAAAATAAAAGTCTAGCTACAATCTTTCTTTAAAGCTATATGTAAACTTGTTCAAGAAAAATTGCATATGACCTTTAATTTTGATCCAAATGTAATCATAAGGACAAATATCATGAACAATTGTTGCAATTTGAAAACCAATAAAAAAAATAGAAAAAAATATAACTATTGAAACAAAAATGATATTTTTGATGCACATTTTGACAATAAATGTCACATCAATGATGCTTGAGGCCAACATTTAAAAAAAAACCAAACTTATACATGTACAAACATTGAAGAGCTGATCAATAGGACGTAAAGTATAGCCAAATCCGAACATGTTAGGTTGTTTTTTCCATAATACTTATATACAGTTTTGTTATTAAAGATATTGTTTTAATTTTGTCATAAATCTATTTTCAGAAAGTAGATGTTTTGAATGATGTAACAAAAAAGATCAAAATAGGTATAAAGTAGAACTTGTTATTTAGATGTGATCAAGAAATATGCTACATTAGATAATTATAGAAGTATAGAACTGAAATGCATTGAATTCCATTAAATACCAGAAAACAAATATTTATTTAACTTGAAGGATTTGCTTTTATTCCAAGCTATCAGCCAGTTTTAAAATTGATTTCAGTTATAGTTTGCTAAATAATATCATTACATTTCAAAAGTAATACTGTTGAGCAGGAAATAAAAATGGCTCTCTGTCTCTCTTTAATATCTCTATTCAGTGGCATTCCCCTAATTCTTTACCAGTTTCTGTTTAAAAATGCATTTTGTCATTGTGGTACATTTTATGAAGTTTTATCTTTGATTTATAATCACCAATGCATATGAATAAAAAATGTATTTGGTATATATTAAGTAGGGCAGTTATTGTGGTGTATAGAAATCCAAAAGTTGTCCAGACTATTTTTGGTAGTGATAAATAGATATAAGAAGATGTGGTATGAATGCCAATGAGACAACTCTCCATCCAAGTCAAAATTTATAAAAGTAAACCATTATAGGTCAAAGTACAGTCTTCAACACGGAGCCTTGGCTCACACCAAATAAACATGTTGATGTCATCATTTTTGCCATGCATATAGGCTTTGGCCTGCTGTTCAATCTTTAAAGTATTATTCCCCGGAAAAATACAATAAATCAGATTTTATTTTCATAAAAATTTTGTTATGAAGTTAACTTGTCTCTTTTCAGTTTACTTCTACCATGAAGTGATTAACATGTTTAAGAAGAGTTGTTATGACTTCTGTGTCCTACAGACTGAAAGACAAGATGGGGATAAGTTTGTGTTAGCTAATTCCTCTGTAGAATATGGGCTACCTGTACCAGTTGGTGTTCAGAGGGCTCAGGTTTGTATCTCCGATTTGTTTTGGCAAATTGCTGTGTCGAATATGGGCTACCTGTACCAGTGGGTGTTAAGAGGGCTCAGGTTTGTGCCTCTGATAGCAGAATTATTTCTTTTAATGAATCTACATGCATTTGTTTCATTTTCAATTTGGAAAAGGGTGTCACATTAGCATTTTTTGTTATAATAGATTTATAGATAATGATTTGAGCTGAGTCTGATAGAAATCAACCTTATGCAAATGAACATAAATACATATGTTAAACATTTTTCAGGTTGAACAAATCTCTATGCAAAGTCTGTAACTGTTTGGAATTGAGTTGATATAAAAACCCTACAAACCAGACCAAAATTTATCTTTTATTTCGTATTTGAATGTTCCTCAATCAATCCAAGTCTTACCCATGTACATGTTTTGCATAAATACCGTAGATTTCTATCCGACACAGCTCATTTATAGAACTATTGACATGAATATAAAATCGAAACAAAATTAGGCAGATGGGTATGAGACAACATTCATTTAAAGAAAGTAATTAACAGGAGCTGGCTGTATGGTCTTTAGCTACATGATTGAGGGTAACCATACAGAGCTAAGGATAGATTTGGTTGCAAAAGATGAACTCTGAGAAAAAAAAAGATGTGTGTCTAAATATATCAGGCTGTAAATAGTCCCAAGCCTTTAAAATTGGGAATGAATTAAACAGAAACTATCAAAGATTTTACATCAACATCAGATTCTACACTATTGCTCAATACAGGTCTTAACTTGGGAAAGGCACATTGATATGTGATGGGGTTAATCTAAATATAAAGACCAAAATCATACATCAATCTAGGATTGCAGTGAAATGAGCAAATAATGGTTAATTGTATTATTGATAACATTTATTTTATATTATAGATGTATCCTAGTGGTTGGGTTATAGAACCAGTACAAAAAGAAAAGAAAATTTATTCCATGGCTACTTATATTATTCAGGTGAGTTGTATGTGAAAGGGTAAGTCAATCAGCTATTTTTACAGGAATTATATCCCTTTGAAATATAATTGTCCCCTGTGCGACACATTGTGGGAGACATAGAAATACCATGTGTCTATTTGTGCATCTGTCGCTTTTACAGATTTTTTATTAAACTTATATCATAGGTTTATATCAGCAAATCTCATACAAGTTCGAAAATCAGGGCTGATCAACTATTGTTAAAAGAGTTCTGTCCTTGGAAATATTAATTATATGGAAAATTGAATTTAAAGTTCTCTCGCATGTACAATTCTTGCCAGATTTTTATCAAACTTATATCAGAGGTTTAAATCAGCAATGTCTCAGACAAGTTTGAAAATCAGTGGTGATCAACTAGTGTTAAAAGAGTTCTGCTGTTGGAAATTTTAATTATATAAAAAATTGCATTTAAATTGCTCTCACGTGTACAATTCTTGGCAGATTTTTATCAAACTTATATCAAAGGTTTATATCAGCAATGTCTCGAACAAGTTAGAAAATCAGTGCTTATCAACTATTTTTTAAAAGAGTTATGCCCCTTGTAAATATTAATTATATGGAAAATTGCATTGATACCCTTTCAAGCCCATATTTCTTTATTTAAAGATATTTATAAAAAGTTTTAGAAAACAAAAACAAAATTATTTATTTCCCTTTTACAGATAAACTATTTGAAAGGTGGGGGACATTAGAACTCTGTTCATTTATATATATTTAGAATTGTTTTTTACATTTCTTGTCCTATTTTCATTTAATTTATATTAAACATTTACACGAGTCATGTCTAGGATAAGTATTATTAACAGCGTTGATCAACTATTTTAATTGGAAGTACATGGTCTCATGATTACATTTCTTGTAGGATATTTATGAAAAATTTAAAAGAACAAAACAAATATATTGGAGTTGTTTCCTTTGGACAGATAAAATATGTACATGGGCTGTAGATATTGGAACTGTTATTCTATTGATTTATCAAATCAGATATCAAAGAAGAAATGTTTACAAAGAATGACAGATTAGTAATATCGGCTTCTGGCAGCTTCCAGATTCTTACAGACTGTACATTATTATTTCAATACCAGTGGCGGATTTAGAGGGTTTTCCAGGGGGCCCTTTTTTGGGAAAAATTTGGTTTATTATTTAGGGAATCACTGAAGCATGACTGGAGCGGGCCCCCTCTTAGGCAGCCAGTGCCCCCCTTATGAAATTTTCTGGATCCGTCACTGAATACAATTTATTTACTTTATAGGTAGATTTTGGAACAGCCAAAAACAGTATGGATAAACCCCCAGTTGATGAACTGGTGTCTAAACAAGCCCTCAGCATTGCCTATCTTCGTCAGTTTCTTAAACCTGCCAAATGGATATCCCGACAACAGTCTTCTCCAGTTCCTAGGCAACAACCATCACCAACTCCTAGAAATAAGTCTTCCACTTCAAATCAGCAGTCTTCACCAGCAGTAAGACAGCGTCAGGTTACAGCAGTATCAAGGACACAGTCAAACCCGGTTACATAGTAATTTACATTTCCATGACAACTGTTGTTGAGGATATAATTAAGCACTTTATTGAGCAGTTTATGTTCCATGACAACCCATGTATTTTGAATGCTTTTGCTTGTTTAAACACAGTATACACATTACGATATAGATGCCTTGTATTGAATACCGAACAGTGCCACAAGTGCCATTATAAAGTCAATTATTGGGCATTTGTTTAATATAAAAATATATATTTTTAGTACTGCCTTACACAGTCAATCATTTTTTAAACCTATTGTATAAAGGATAAGTCTTCTGTGCAAAATTAGTATTCAATTACTTACACAGTCAATATTTTTTTGGCCAATTGTATAAAGGTTAAGTCTTCTTTGCAAAGTTAATATTCAACTTATGTTACTTTTACCCAAACATTAGGAAAGACTTAACTTTATGATTTTTGTCTCACCCTAATGAAGTGAGAATTAGGCTTGCTGTTTCCATTTCCATTGAGATTACTCTACCCCTTCCACTCAGTAATGCTCCACTGACTTTGAAATCTTTGTAAAGTTAATATGTTACAGTTTTACCATTTAAATTAAAAACAATTGCATTATATTATTTAAACTACATGCAGGTGAGACATATCTCAGTGTAACAGTTTATTATAAATAAATAAAATAATCATAATTTAAAAAGTTTAAACAAAAAAGTTAAAAAGTAGTTTCACTTCCCAATCCCATTTGTATCTGATTTTGATTTAGGAATATTCTGATTTGTTCCACTTCTGTTTGAATGTTTGAAGATGGTGTCAGATATTTTTCTTAATTGCTCTTCCATTTTGTCGTCAGTTTCAAGTAACTGAGCCTCTATATCAAAGTCTAGGTAAACTGGTTCCCCCATGGTTTGGGATTTCTTCCATTGTGTGTTCTCTGTAAGGTTAAAAAAAGAAAAATGATATTGTCTTCAGCTGTTTAAAAATTTATTGAGCAGATGGTTATTTAAACCAATGATATGTGGACTTCTTCGTAAATGGACAAGAATTTTGCGTTGAAACTACCATGCATAAGTCTGCAGTGTCCTGGTTTAGAATATGTTTCATTTTCACAATTTCTTCTACATACTAAATTGACCATAACCTTTAAATAAAATATTATGCTCAATATTACAACTGCAGTTTCAGGGTAAAATACTGGTACTAAATGAAATTTACACATTATTTGCCAATCTTTTCTTTCTTTACACATGTGTTTGTTAAATATAAATTTATTCACATCAATTATATATTTTTTTTTTTTAACATATAATTGCTAACATGCTTTGCTGTTAGGTTTAGTCACATTTTTAAAAGGTGATGTTATTTTATTTACTTATATTCTTACATTTAAACATAAATATGGTAATCGATCGTTAATTATACAATAATCAGCATAAATTAATGAAAACATTATAGTATTACACTAATTTTAATTTTTATGAGAAATATACAGTTTCAGGGTATAAATAAGATATGAAAATATGTCACAATATATTTTTTTTTATATTCTTAACATATTTAAGTTATTATCAAAATTGTTATTGCATAATTGCATATATATAGATATACCTTTGTTACATGCTGTGCTAATTTTGCTAATATTTATAATTGACTATAAAATAGTCATTACCTGCATTTTGCAATATTATAACTTTGTCACATGCTTTGCCAATTTTACCAAATGTTTCTTATAGGCAGGTAGGGATTCAGACAAGGACCATCATTTCCCATTTCATCTGTTCTTCAATAAATAGGATGAACCTTATCTAATATCTGTGTCAAGGATCAAGGTAATTTTGCTAGTCTTGTGGTGTTCAGTGCCCTTGTTAGGTGACAAAAGACAGCTTCACAGTCTCTGTTTTGCATAACAAGCTTAAGATCATGCATTTCCTTTCAAAAGTGTATATCCAACCAATTTATTACTACCTTGATATGTTGTATATATACATGTACATGTATAGAGAATTTATTTTCACATTTTTGGTAAATGAATATTTTATGTGATACAAAGTACATATAAATACAAGCATTCTATTTTATTAAATATTTGAATACATGTTGATTTATTTCAATAATACCGCATACCAGTATTTATTTTTGTAGCTATATTTTGAAAAATTCTGTTTTGAAACTGATGAAGATATTTTTGTATTGTACTAGATTCCTAAAAAAATACTTGAAGAAGATAAAACAAACTGATACTGTTATTTGAATAATTTTGAATATAAAAGGAAATTTAGGGTGTATATCAATGAGATAGCAATCCAATGACACATAATGAAAAGCCATGAATTAATTTAATACATGAATTGTTGTAATAGATTAATTCAAGATAAATGTGTGTCATAACCTCTATTCTGTGAACATCACAATCAGTTTTCACAAAATCACATTTTAGTGACAATGTTCTTATTTAAAATCAACATAGCAATTAAAAAAAATTAATTCATTGATTGTAGTAAACTTAGTTTGTATGTTACAGTAGTTTCCTGTTTATTTCCTCTAAAGATGGCCAATGATATCAATTCATTTTTGTGTTTATGTTTTCTTTATTCAATTTTTTCCGTTGTATATTCAAATATACTCAAACATTATTTTATTTATTATGCTTGTTTTGTTTTAGCTCATGTTTTACCTGAAAGGTGCTGTAATTTTAAATGGTCAGTGATTTGAGTAATAATTGTATCATGTGATTTTAATATTGCTGCTATTTATAGATTATTTTGAGAATTTATATGTGAACATTTTAGTTTATTGAGTGGTAATATCCAAGATACTCATGCTTTTTTTATTTATTATGTGATTATCATTTGTAGGTTTTTTTTATTTGCCTAAAAATTAGTCAGTTGCATTGATTGAAACTGCTCATGAGTATGCATGAAATAATTGCCACTGGAAAATAAACAAGCAACAATCAATCAATATATTGAAGCTTTGCAGGTGCCTATCCACAAGGTAGACAACTCTTAATTTAGATCAAGTAAAAAGAAATAATTGTTGAATTCATGAAAAAAATGAAACAATGTGATTGCATATAACATTTATTTGTATTCAGTTTTTGTACATAAATTATGTACAATACAAATGCATTATCAGCTCTCCACAGATAAACCTATTAATTAAAACTTATTGTTAAGAAATGTATATAACAAAATATGATGTTTTGCTAAATGCAAAAGTTACTCAGTTTTACTGCTTTCATGATTTCAGCATTACATGCACATATGTTAATCAATGTTCATGCAATGAGAATTTTATGAGGAGTTACAATGTATTTGTAAAGTTGAATTTGAAATTGATATTGCTCAAGTGAAACATCTTTTGTTTTCTTTTCGTTTACATGAATAATATCTTTTATTTCAAATCACCTGGAATACATAAACCCTAAGCAGTCCAGGGCAGCTGACAGAGGGGTCCCTGCTTTTATTTTACATATCCCATTTGCCAGGGAAAATACAAATGGGTGAAAAAACATTTTATATAAAAAAAACCAGCATATGTTTTCAATTACTATTCTTCACACCTTCAAATTTTGCATTTTCATATAATATTATGCTTTTAAATACAAATCTTAAATATATATAAATGTTATTTTTTAGTTTTGTTCTTTCTAACCATTTGTACGGTTTAAATTTTAAATGTGATCTTGTGTTAGGAAAAGACAACCAATTACAACCAATCTTTGATTCAGGTGACATTAAAATACTTTCTAGATGTACCTGACCAAAAATTTAGCTGTAGCAGATTTAGTTTCAACACCTGAAATAAAATTTAATTGTTCTATAAAATTAAAACAGACTTAACCACTTGCAAGAAAATTGGTTTTACATAGGTGTAATTTCAGTCTCGCTGGGTTGTTTCATGATTTTTTGGTATAACTATGACAAGTCACTTTGTGACATAAGATTTGCTATTACAACTATTTTTAAAATGCTTAAAATTGAAATGACAGCAGTCAAACCATGACCTTATTTTGCTTGATTGTCTAAACAGGTCAATAATCTATTGTACTTAGGTTCCATTGTTTATTAAAAAAAAAGTGTTTAACATTCTCATCATCTTTTTATTCATGCTCTATATCATGTTATCAGGGTACTTAATTACCAATTTATGGTGTCTGGAGACGTGATGGAAGTTATATATAACCCAAGTATCATATCAGAAATACATATATGAAACATTTGTAAAGGGAAAATATTTCACATTGAGCTATCTCCCATTTAGCAAATAAAAAAAGAGGGCCAGTTTATTCCTCTTTCAAAATTAGTAGACCTGGTTTTCTTTTCTATATTTGGGAAGAGTAATAGGAGGGTTTTTCTTTTCAGAAAAAAAATATGTAAATATCATGAGTAATTTTTGCTTCTTATTTGCTATTTTTCTTCATATTGATATAAATGAAATGGAAGGTCAGTGTTTTAAATGCTTGTTGTACAAATGTTCTCTTGGTAACCTATTGATAATTATATTTTATCTCCACTCAGATTAGTGCTAATCTGAACCAACAATGGCAGGAATAATTTTGAAAGTTCTCTAGTAATGGTCTGACTTTAGAACAGAAATGAAGTTTTATTCAAATACCGTTTTTTGTTTATGTAAATGTTGTAGAAAAGATAATTTAGATCACTCATATTGGTGCTAATCAGCCATAGAACCCAAAGATTGTATTGACTTAAAAGTTCCTTATGAATAAATAGAAGTCTTATTTTCATTTTCTTGCATAAAAAAAAATACATGAATTACCTAAGCAAAATTTCTTGTAATATTTTGAAGGTCATTTACAATTTACCGAAATTTTTTATTTCATGTGGATCAGATGAAAACTTCAAGGTTAACATTTTATATTCCCTTCAGTATTAACCTCTAATAGAACCTAGTAAGTGAAATGCAGGATTGGATGATTCCTGAATGGTGACACACTGGGCCTCTAGAAAAAAACAAATGCAGAAAATGATTTACCAATTTGAATCAAAACTTTGCAAAATCATCAATTTCTATTTGCTTCAAAGACATGGTTATGGATCAGAATGTTCTTTTTTTTTTGTTTAGCCAGCTTCTTGATGCAGATTTTAGCAAATCTGCAATATTACCCTATAAAGCCTACCGGTAATTGTTTTCTCTCTGGTATTATTTGCAGGAGGGAGTGGGTGCATTTGGTATTTGGAGGCAACTATATAGGGAGAAACAAAAATGCTTGTTATTTTTCTATTACAACATTGTCAGAATATTTTTTCTTGCCAAAATCTTAGAAATAGTGAATATGGACACAAAACTCTGGATACATCAATATATATTTATTATACTTCACATTAAAATGCAAGATTTTGATTGGCTAATATGAGGGAGATGATTTACTCTATCCCATGACTCATTGTCATTTTTTTAATGTCACCCTCTCTTGCAGACCATTCAAAAATCAATAATTTAATGGACAATGAATTGAATTTACTGTTACACCAATAAATTAAAGACAATGCTCAAGTTCTAGTTTTGGCCTTTCATAGACTGTTAAAATAAAAAAAAATATATCTTGCTTCTCTTCTTGGTTTTCTAATAACTGTAAAGTTGTTATGTACGTGACATCATAATTAAGTACTTTCAATTTAAAATTTAACAGTAAAAGACAATAATGATAGAGCATTTAGTATAATAAATTGAATAACACATAGATGAGAGGGTGATAAAGCAGATTGTTACCCCTCGAAAAAACATTGTCAATATCGGCTTTGCCTCAGTTGACAATGTTTTCTCTGGGTGACAATCTGCTCTATGACCCTCTCAGCTATGTGTTATTTATATAATGTTCTTTGTCTAACCTGTACAGAACTGTGTCCGATTAATCAATTATATTTGTTTTTTATTTATTTTATTTTATTTTCATGAAGGCAACACCAAATGAATTTGTTGATCTTTGTATTCCGTCTGCTAAAAACAGGGACAAACAATATTTTTTTATATTTTGTTTGGATTTACAAATAACTGATGACCAGCCCAAAATATTCTGAAAAAGAACATGTGTACATTTTTTTTTAGATTTTAGAACTTTTTTTGAGGGACCATTTATTTTTTTATTTGAAAATTGCTGATAAAAAAAAATGCAACAAAAATTATGAAAAAGGTGGCCATGTAACGATGTTAGAATTTCATTTTTAGAAAAAAATTAATCATAATATTTTAGGAACAATCAATTCCAAAGATCAACAAATTTATTTGATGTCCTAACATTGATTTTCAACAGAAGTTGTTGTTTAGTGATGCACTAAATTAACAGAAAACATTTTAAAAACAATGCAATTTTTATTTTCACTGTATTTATAAAACCAGTTTTAAAATGTTTTTATTTGTATAATACGAGTTTCACTTTCAGGGTACCAGTATATATTTTACAGAAAACATGGATGAGATTATTTAACTTTTATTTTTTCCTGATATATAAACAAAGTATCTTGCAGTTTTATTGGTGATTTGATATTTCGTTTTTATGCTTAAAAGTAATTTAAAATTGAGTCTTTAGAAAGCTTGTGTTGATTGTTAATGCTGATGTTTTGTTTATACTTTGCATAAAAAAAAAGAACTCTTGTATTAAGATTCAATCATGAAGCAACCAGACCACAAAAATTTAGTTTAGATCTTTAGATTAAAGAGGACATAAGCAATTGATTTTCTTTCTTGAAATATATATGTATCAGTAGAAACAAAATGCAAATTAAATGGTACAAAGGACTTGCATGTATATATATTTTTTTTAAATACTTTAGCCATAAAGTATCTCAATTGTAATGTATTAATGAAAAGAAATTGCAAACTTTTGTCATTTTGTATTTTGGAACATGTGGAACAATGTGAAATTTTTAAAAGCTTTTATCAGTTTAAAATTGGAAGAAGTGAGTCCATAGGACTAAAAAGCAGTTTTGTGTGGCCTAACCTATGTGAAACAGTCTTGCCTTATCATAAGAGTAATTTACTAATCAATGCAAATTATGTTACAAATCAATGCAATTTATTGTTAATTTTTTTGTCTTTATTCTTACAATTATAAAACATATTATGGGGTGTTAAGAATAAATATATTATATTTGTTTTGTCTTATTTCTACTGCCACCATCATGTTCTCAGGGCTGGCTGTTAGCCAAAAATGCAAATATTTGAAAAGTTAAGATAATGCAATGCTCACAGACTTAGTATAGTAATATTCATGGACAGAAGAAAAATCTTAATAATGAAGTTTTCATGTTAATATAGATTATCTTTTCCCCTCAGTTTACTCAAAAGGGATAATAGTGTTTATACTGCAATCGTTCTATTTGAGCAGTCAAAATGCATTGACTGTATATTTTTATGTGATATAATCACTAACTGTATTTTGCATTAGATCACACCTACCACTTTAAAATATGTATTGAAATGTACACTTCAGCGAGGGGGACATTGAAAATTATTTCTCCACATATATCCTACAAAAATTATACAAAAATTTCTGTTCTGTTTCTCCACATTTATCCTTCAAAAATTATACACAAATGTATGTTATGTCTCTTATTTTTTTTATTAAAATGTATAATTTCTGATATTCATTTCTCCTTGTTGATATTCTATTCGGAAATCTGCCGTACTCATTCACCCGACTGCATGAACTGCATGATTTCAACATCACATTTTGAAACATGACAATTTTATTTCATCTTTTTCTGGTGTAAACCTCTTAAAGCAGTTTCAAAAAAAATTTAAAAACAAAATGCGAACAAAAAATGGGTATTAAATTATTTTAGATTCTAGAATAAAGACAATATTGTATTGACTTGATATAATAATGATATAAGGATTCAGCATGAAACACAGAAAATGCTAGGCAAAGCTTCGCATTTACCCGGTTTCTAAACTTTGTCCTTATATCGCTATTATGTCAAGTCAATACACTTTTATTTGTCAATTACAAGATCAGGAAAAGATCTTATTACAACTTTATTTCCATAAAACATTGGGAGGTGGAAAAGACTTAATTTTTAGTTTATCATTTTGTGGATTTTCTTACAAATTGCTAGGAATTATAAAGGAAATATTTATAAACATAATATATATCAAGAATGCAGGCTTTGTTGTGCTAAGCATACCCGACTCTCTTTATTCAAATTATTGGAAAACAAGAAGCAGTTATGTGACAGATCCCAAAATGTCTTGCACATTACATCTCATCACTGTCAAGCTGCTGAACAAATATGAAATTATTCTATTAAGTAGTTACTGAGAAAAGTGTGACGAAAATATCTGTTGTACGAATGGAAGGACAGGGTGATTGCAATGTAGCCACACTTTCAATGTAGGGGTATAATATGAAATTGGTGCAAAAAGACAATGCCCTCACTTCTCAGACAAGATCCCCCATGATTCCCTTTATGTACTGATTGGCTGTGAATAGCTTATGTATTTACCGGTACTCTTTTTTTAACATCTGCCAACAAGTGTACCAGATAGTGAATGGTACAGATAAACTCTTTACAAAAATAAGAAGATGTGGTATGATTGCCATTGAGACAACTTTCCACCAGAAACTATATGACATAGAAGTTAGCAACTAAAAATCACCCTACCACCTTCAACAATAGGCAAAACCCACAACACATACCAAGCTATAAAAGGCCTCGACATGACAAATGTAAAACAATTAAAAACAGAAAACTTGCAGCCTGTTTTTTGTTTATAATAATCTGTGATATTGAAATAGCATGAATTCAACATATTTTCTAGCAACCAGTTACATGTATTCTAATACTACTGATGATGGCTGTTGAAATGGATATTGCTTATAAGCTGAAACACCTGTTATTTTATAAACTTTACCTGTGTTACATTGACAATTTTGTCTTCAGAAGCAATTAATTTCTTCATTACTTTTGTAAATTAAATCTAAATATATATCATGAATATATATCAGGTTTTTTAAGGGGCAGGAGAGGGTTCCTGCTCTTACAATTTTATGATAATCAGAGATCCTGAAAATCAGTTTATAAATAACATATTGAGATATATATTATCTATCCATATTGGAAATATTTCGAAGGACAAAGCAATGGTTAAAATATATAGATAACAAAACCTTGTATTGAATCTTATTCAGATTTCAGAAATGCCTGAAGCAATTGATTAGATGTTTGGTATACTGTTACAGTTTCAATTTTTGAGTTTCTTTCTGGTAGTGCAATTATTGCTTAAGTTCTGGCACAGAGAAATAGAAAATTGCTTAGAAATCATAGTTTTCTACACTTTTTTCTGTAATGCCTGAATCAATTATTTTGAAAGTTGGTTTACAGTCCAACAATAAGAAGTTTCAGTATGAGTTTGGTTCCATTTAAATGATTTTTGCTAAAAGTTTGTCCCTTTAACACAGAAAATTTGCAATTTGTTTTTCCTTCCAAGTGTGACATTTTTGCAGAAGTTTGCTTTTAAATAGATGCCTCTAGCACTATTCACATCTTTAGATAACTATTCTGACTCAGTTCATAAGATGGAAATTCCTTACTGCATCAGTAACAAAATAATTCTTTTTCCCATACAAGTGAGAAAACACATCCAACATAAACATTACAGCCAGTAGGGGACATTATTGTTGCATATGTAATATCCTCAGAATTCTTTCTTTTAATACTGTTCAAATGACTACCAGTTTTGACTAATCTTGTCTTTGGAATGAACAAACTGCCCATTAGCATGTAAGTTTCGATATTGTACAAGAAACTTGTTTGGTCGTACAGATATATTAGTATACTGTAGAAACATATATTTTCCAAGGGTTTAAATTGAATGATATTGTGTCTAAAATTTATTTTGTGATTATAAGTACTGTGGATTTATTTATTTTCGTGGGTACCAATTTTAGTGGATTGTGGAGATACTGGTATGTACATATAACCCTATAGAAAATTAGTTATTCGTTGAACATATAAATTTGTCGTTCACCTGTACCCACAAAATGAGTGAAAATTGGTCTCCAACGAATAATAATGAATCCAATGTGTGTAAGATTAATGCTCTTTACATGTTCAATTTTTTTTATGTTTTGATTTAGTGTACAGATATCACCAAAGAAAATTTCTGCTTTTACAGTACTTTTACTATAAGCTTATTAGTAACAACTTGTTTAGGATGTTAGTGAAAATTTGTCATAGTTCAGATGATCTTTAATTGGTTGATTGAGTGGTGCTTAATGTCCAGTCTCAAATATTTCATGCATAGTAAATGAAGTATTATGATTTCATAGGAAAATATCCTGCTTTGTAGGAAACATTGACATGTTAACTAGTTGAATTCAATATCATTTGGTCTCTGGTGGAGAGTTGTCTCATTGGTAATAATACCACATCTTATTTTTATGGCTAATATAGTATTAGTCAACAGGAAGACGCCTCACCCTTTTTAACTGATTTTTAATTTGTTCCCAAGTTTTGCTGTAACAATACTGTCCCAGGTTAGGGGGGAGGATCGAGTGCTCACACACGTTTAACCTTATCACATTCTTGATGTGCCTGTGCTAAGTCAGGAGCATGTAATTTAATGGTTGTTGGTTGCCTTATTTGCTTTTCGTTTAAAGTTTATATCATTTATCAGGCTGTTGGTTTTCTCTTTTGGATTATTTTACACTTTGTCATTCCTTTTATAGCTTACTATACAGTATGGGTTTACCTAATGGTTGAAGGTCGTACGGTGACCTATAGTTATTTACCACCTTATAATTTGTTCTTTGGTTAGTTCTCTCATTGGCAATCATACTACATCTGATTTTTATAATGTTGCCTAATCTTGACGCATTATTCTGATTTTTAACACTTTTGTTCAAAGTCTTTAAATTTGTTTACTTGGCATAAAAGCAACAATACCCAACCTTCTGCACCTGTTGCTAGCACTGTACTACAAGAACAACAAGACAGCCTGAAATATTTAGTCCTCTTTGTAAACCTTTTTTTTTATTTGCCATTTTAATATCTCAAGATTGGATAAATTCATTGAACATATGCTTAAACGGCATTAAAGTTACTTCATTAAGGATGTTCACTCCTCTTGTTTTTGAATTTTTGCCAGATATTCGGAATCCTCTAGTTTTATCCATGTAGGGCCATTACAAAATTTTCCACGCTAACCCCAACTTTTCTTTTCATAATTTTATTACATAAAGTTTAAAAAGCCATGTTTGAAAATCCTATAAAATCCTTGTAATTTTTTCATAATTTTTGAAAGCAAAAGGGTGCCAATGTTAAATGTATGAAAAGTCTAGAGAGAATTATTTCCCAACAAATTTTCAACGGCTTATATCTCGAAAACAAGCACACGGACCCTTCATTTTTTTCTGCTATTTTAGTTCCTTTATTTATATACTATCAATTTATAACAGTCTTTTAAAAAGCTTGTTATTTTGAAACAGAGTAGCGAACATCCTTAAATATCTATCCTCCATTGTTTTGAATATCTGCAACCAATCAGAATGTTTTGATGTATCCTTCACCAATAAATCTTCCCATTACTTAAACATCCTGATATGATGACTTGTAAGAGTCCTATTCAATAATGGTCATTTTTCATTTTTTTTTTTATTTCAATGAACCACAATAATCATCAAGTAGGTTTCATTAGAGTGAGAGCTGTCAATAGATACCCTCCTCCTCCACTCATCCCTATATGTGGGTGTGTCCTCATTGGTAATACCTGTAAAAAGAAATACCATAGTTATATCATTACATTTGATAATTAGGTGTTACTTTTATACGATGTGGAAGAAATTCAAAATTTCTGATTTGCAGAAAAAACTGTTTTTGTGTATAATTTATACCCTCTCTCTAATGCAAAATAAATCATCACAAAATATATTGCATCCCACTTTTCTCAGGAACTACTTAACAGAATTACTTCAAATTTGGTCAGCTGCTTGACAGTGATGAGTGTCACCACTTTTTGTTCTTAAAAGTTCTTATATTAAAAATAAAAGGAAATATGAATGACACTAGCAGCTTAATCATTTTTGACTCCATGCAGATAAACTGCATACTGTCCTCGTGTATGTGTTGTCGACCCAAAGGTAGTGTTGTTTCAGAATTAGCACTTTATATTCCAGTTAGATTTTCAATAAATGTAATCCATCTTTTCCACTAGTCATAATTTTTACGCATGGAAATTATGTATAAAACTAACAAAAATCCACTAGAAAATAAAAATAAGAAGATGTGGTATGATTGTCAATGAGACAACTCTCCACAAGAGACCAAATGACACAGAAAATAGTAGAAGTATGTTGAAAAGGTAAAACTTATGAAGTGAAAATGATACAAAAATTAAAAACCAAAATTGTTAAGCAGAATGATAGCATTCAAGTAAATTAGGAAAATGTTAAAAATACAACAATTTGTTTTTAAAGGTCAGATTAATGTGCCACCTATTTAAAGGTATATGCCCAATTCATAATACCTGATACTCTCTGAGCCATGTCTCAGTCAGCCTGAAGTTTACAATTCCTCCTCTTTCTCTCATAAAGGCATAACAGTCCATTAATGGCTGAAAGAACAATCATAATTATACATTTTTACAGCTCAAGCTAAAACCCTCAGTCCAATATTGGTCAAGGGATGATATAGAAAATGCTGTACAATGATCTATTTGTCCATATTTTAAACTATAAATTAGGAAAAATAAAAAAAGAAATAATATGCTTCAATTTGGTTTTGGCTTATTTTGTTTTGTTTTGGCTCTTTTAAGTGAGTGCATTATTTAACATTTCAATAATTCTCATAACCACATCAGGTCTTCTCCAACTTTCAACAAAGACGGGGCAAATGGTTTCTAGCAACAAGGTCACAATATCAGAGACATTGTTTAAAAAACTGAAAGATAAACTGGTCTGTATAGTAAGAATGTTGCTCTTTTCAAACAGTTTTATTAACAGTAAGGTTGATTTTAAATCTAATCCATTTTACATTTTGTACATGGCTGTGTATGTATACCTAGAGTGTTGATTGGGATTTTACAATTAAGGGCTGACTTGGAAACTCATCAATTTTCAAGACAAGCAATAGTTTTCAGGGAAATTTACCTTTGTTGTACAAATGAAGCATTCTAAGACTAAAATAATTCTATGATGCTTTTTAACAATTTCTTAATACAGTCCTTCTTAATGAGATATCTTCAATGGTTGTAGCAGCCTTTCCTCTGCAAGTTAGGTGTAATAAAACAATTGTGCCTTTTAAAAGGGTGAAATATCCAAAATTGTTAACCCTAAAATTTTATTTCCCTTTTACATGTATGGATATTCACCTTTCATGCTATAATTATATATTATTATCACATGACTGCTCGTCTATCAAACTCATAATCAAATCTAATGGAAGATGAAGACTTAGAGGAAGCTAATTATGAGATCATAATGTTCTTAGCATTTTATTAGCAGACAATATCACCTGAAAGTTACTGGTATATAATTTTAAGCTTTCAGTATTCATTTCAGATATTTGTGAAGTTTTTGTTATTTTCTAGTGGTTGGTAGTAAACCTGTGAGCTCTGTTATTCATTCTCCTTATTGGACTAATCACCATGGAATTGTACAAATGTATAGAAAGTGCCACTCTATAGTGATTAAGATTATAACACAATGTTGACTGCTGTACCCCTATTTTTGACATTTTTTCCTATTATGTCTGTTTGTTTTGTTCACACATTGTCGTAAATATAATGGAATTATATGCGACTGTCATACAAGTGAGAGGTTTAGCTAGCTATAAAACCAGGTTTAATACAACATTTTCTACATAAGGAAATGCCTGTACCAAGTCAGGTATATGACAGTTGTTTTCCATTCCTTTGATGTGTTTGAGCTTTTGATTTTGCCATTTGATAAGGGACTTTCTGTTTTGAATTTTCCTTATTATACTTTTTACTTTACTAAATTGAAACAATAAATCAATTATTTTTACAAATTATCTTTTAATATCATAATTTATCCTTATCAATATTACCTCTTTGTGTTGACTGTACAAAACTATTGGTCGACATGGAGCTATATATTCTAACAGAGCCAATACTATAGGTGTTGGATGATATTTACAGGCCACTATCAATCTATCAAATATTCAAATAATTAATGTTTAGTATTATTTATGCTATGGTAATATTGTTGGGAAATGAATTTTCAAGAATTCTAATAGTGGAATTGTGATATAAAAACTCAATATATCAGATGCATGTAGAAAATGACATGAGTGAATCATCACTGTTGTTTGGTCATGAGCTTATTTGAAGATATACTAATTCTTTAATTAGTCATTCTTCTTAAAACATTGACTTTTAATGTAAAAAAGAAGAAAATGCAAAGAACTATATCTTATTCTATCCTTCTCACTTTGTTTTGATGCAACATCACTGACAAGGCCTTGACAACACCTTACTCTGGAGGTATAAATATCCAGATATATAGACCCTCTCCTGTTGACAATAAACAATCTACTGTTAAATTTGGATGAAACATACAAGTTTTCTACAGAAAGGTATGAAGGTTTTAGAACCTCCTGCTAATAGATCCGTTCTCCTGATCATAATTCTATCATTTCCTGCTTTAAGGATGTTTGCTTCTCCTTTTCAAAATAACAAGCTTTTTAAAAGACTGTTATAAATTGATAGTATATAAATAGAGGAACTAAAAATGCAGAAAAAATGAAGTGTGTTTGTTTTCGAAATATAAGTCATTGAAAATTTGGCAGGAAATGAATCTCTCTTAGAGTTTTCATACATTTAACTTTGGCACCTTTTTTCTTTCGAAAAAAATGAAAAAATAACAAGGATTTTATAAGATTTTCAAATCCGGCTTTTTAAACTATATGTAATAAAATTATAAAAAGAAAAATAGGGTTTAGTGGGCAAAATTTTAATGACACTACAGGGATTCCGAATATGTGGCAAAAAAATCAAAAACAAGAGGAGCGAATATCCTTAATAACATTTGTCTTTCACATGTATGATGATTTAATACCAAAACTGGTGTTCTACTCAACAAAATTGTTAATCTTTTTGTAATCTTTTGTTTCATTACAATATTATAAATCCAAAAATGTTTGCAAGCATTTATTCTTGTGATTGTTGGGACTGCTGACAAAAGTATGAGATTAATTAGTACAATTTCAGGAATCTGCAAAGGAATAATTCTATCAAAATTTCAAATGTGTGTTTTTATTTTTCCGAAATCTATCCATTCGTAATTTTTCAAATAATAAAATACATTGCCAAGATTTGTGAATTTACAGTATTTTACACACTAACCCGTCCATATTTCTCTGTAACAACAACTGTTTAGCTTCTCTTATTTTTTTGTTTCTTAGATTTCTGCTGAGTTCTCTTGTTTCCTAAAATAATCACAATGCAAAGAGTGTGTAAGTTTAAGTCATTTGTTGGTGAAGGTCTAGACAGTCCAAGTTATTTGATGTTTCATTTTCAATCTTAATATAGGTAAAATTAATATATAGATGTTTACTTAAGGAATGACTGTAATATTTTTTCTGTCTATGAAGAAATAACACCAAAAACGTGGTGCACACTGAATAACTTGCATACTGCACCACCTTTTTGAGGTTATTTCTTCATAGACAGAAAAAATATTACAGTCAGTCCTTACAATTTAATTCTAAATTCCATTTACTGTGGATTCATTTATTTTCGTGGGTATCAATTTTCGTGGATTGAGGAAAACTTGCATTTTCGTGGATATTTGATTTCGTGGTTTTGTCAATCTGTGCACACAAAGTCATAGAAAATTTGTAATTCGTTGAACATTTGAATTCATGGTTCCCTTGTACCCACGAAACCCACGAAAATTGGTATCCAACGAAAAATAATGAATCCACAGTATAGGGACTAAATCATGAAAAAACGTTGATGACGTCACGGTCACATGACATAATTATGTATATGAGCTGATAGACAAAAAACTTTCAGCCAATCAGAAGACGTGTTACATCCAAAAGTAAATTATTGTAACTTGATGTCAGAAAAACAAGGGTCAGCAGATAGGGATTTTTTTTTAAATTTTACTTTTATTCTGTTGGAGTATGTGGTATAAAAAAAATTATATAGGGAATGGGGTAAAAAATACAGAAATTCAGTTGACAGTTAACACACATAATCGAAAAATGTATTTGAATATATCTGTAGGGATTTTGAATTGGTGGTGTGACACCGTAATGTGTTATCAAACCTAGTTCAATAGAATGCCATGAGTTAAGTAATCATAGTTACCCTATCTCTGTGCTTTCTTTTCCCCTGATTTCCTTCTTGTTTCTTTGATGTTTTATCTGTTTCCTTTGTTTCTACTGAGATCAGATCTACACATTCTTTTTCTTTTGTCTCATCATTTTCTGTTTTGACTTCATTTTCACTTTGATCCATACTTTCTGTCTCAGTTTTATTTTTGTTTTCAGTTTCCTTTGCAATATCATTTTGAGTCTGATCTGTTTTACTTTCATTTTTATTTCTAGATTCACTTTGTTCGTCATATGGTGAGTCTGGATTCTCTATCTGATTGGTTTGATTCAGAGGAAAACTATAGAGGGTGTCCAAAAAGTGTTGAGGAAAGTCCATAGCCTCTAATGCAGGTCTGAAATCAAAGCAGTCATGGATTCAGAGTTTTAAAAATTATGTTATTTCATTTTCAGTTTTTAGTTTTATTTTAATTTTGGTGTGCAAGTTATGAAATTACACTTGGTTCTTTTCTTTCATTTTTTTCAACAACAGAGAATAAAAAAGATAATTCTGTAAACTCAGAAATATAAGATGCAAGTTCTTATTATTGAAAAAATTCATCCAGTGGCATTATTGGCATAAATAAAACCTGAATTTACAGTATTTAATCTGGGGTATGGATGATTAAAACAGAAAATTATTTTGATTTATAAATTTCTGCATTTATAACCAATACAGTTAACCTATATATCTGGAGTCGGTTTCAAAAAAAAATTTACGACTAAGATTGGTCGTAAGTCAAGAACAATTCAGTATACTTACGATCAATCTTAGTCTTAAGTTTTTTTGTGAAACTGACTCCAGGCACCTACTTGTAAATATTTCACATCTACCTAATATTAGAAGTATGTATAACTACTATTCATTTCTTACAGAAACCTGTTAATCTGATACACAGTATTAAAAGTCTTCCTGAAACAAGGCATTTATTTTCAAAAATAAGACTTCTTTAAACATGGCATTTAAGTTTAAATTCTACAGCTATGATATATTTGGTAGATACTTAATATGTAAACATACTATTCATGCAACCGCATTTTCCAGGCCTTAAAACATTGACAGAAGAAATCATTAATGTAAATAAATTTTCTTGTAATTGGTTAATGTAATACATGTACCATAGATTTTCCTGAGAACATGAGCAATTTTAGTTTCAACACCAGAAACTTTTTAAAATAGCTGTTGATAAAATTAACACAGAACTGACTTACCAGTTTGCACCATCTGCAAGATAAACTGGTTTTCACAGTAAAGATTTTGATTGCAATGAAAAATCTTCAGTAAAGAAAAAATATAAAACTGAGCATTTAATATCATTTCAATATCATTTATGACTCTATATATGCTTAATTTTACAGAAAATCAACATAAACTATATGGTGACCTATAGTTGCTTACATCCACGTCATTTGGACTCCTGTGGATACTTCTTTTATTGGCAATCATACCACATTTCCTTATTTCATATTTTGATCTTTTTATGCATATAACAACAACTTAACTCGGTCTTGTATTATGGAAACGTTATTACCTGGTCACTTCACCTGTGTGAAAATGTATAACCTTCCCATGTCCTGTAAAATAAATTGACAGAATTAATATGTGTGATAAATGATAACATCCAATCCAAGTGGCAAGATAGAAAAAGTAGAACCCTTGGGAAGTTTTAGGAAGAAAGTATTATTTCAAAAACTTTGTGGAAGAAAGGATTTCAATAATTAAGATTCAAACAAAGAAAAACTGTACAATGAGCATACATGTGATGGACTGTGAAACTAAGATCAGGAGTTTGGGAAATTTTGGTCAGGAGATTAGGACTCACATCAGGAGGTTTTTAATCGACATAAATTCTGTCGTAAATGTAATCGTGTGCTGTAGAAATTGTCTGTTAAAGTGTGTTTTCTTCAACTTTCCATCCGAATGTATTATGTTTATAGTACCCTTGTACTTATAAATTTTCTCTATCTTTTTAAACTTTCAACTTGTTCAATCTAATTCTTCTTTTTTAGTATGTTCTTTAAATTTTTTAGGTCATATCTTTTTTAACATTATTCATTGCAATCAGAACATTTGCTTATCTATCTGCAAGTAGATCTTTTACTTTTAACTTTATGCAAGTAGATTTTTAATGCATGATAAGTAACACATTCAAACTGTACAACAAATGGAAGTTTTTAACGACCTTGACTGGCTATACAGCCCTTGCACGATCGGATTTCAAACCGTAATCATGGGTCATAGTTATTATATAAATTTCAATTTAAGCCTTGAAAGGAAGTATAGAACCCTCAAATAATTTTCAAATTATTTTTTTTTTTTTATTTGTCCTAAGACATTTAAAATCATTTAATTACCATCCTTTTATGATTATTTGTTCAATTTATATTTTATTTATATTCTTTTAAAAATTTACATTATTTAAAGGAAAGAAACTTTAAACAGGATAAATCAAGGGAAGTAACCCAACATTCATTTTAAATACACAAAGTTTTATTACACAACGACAGTTAGCCTGAGGTAAAAAACTTGATTACCAGTATGTTTGACACCCAAGGTGACAAGTGAAGCCATATAATAATGCATGTTAATTGATTTACAGGTTAAATATAACTTCAGGTAAAGTCAGTTACACCAGATATGTTGGGCTGAAAGTTTTCATTCATGAAATATTTCATACACGGGATTTTTTTGTCTTCAACCGGAGGTCGGGAGGAGACCCCTGAAAACGGGATCTTTGTAGTCCCGTCGGGAGGTTCACATGTATGGATGAGTTATGCCACTGTTGTGTAGGCAGCAGTAGTGTCAAACCAGTAGGTGATAGCAAAACATGCAGTAACACATGACAGTCACAGTGAAAATCATTTGATTTACCTTCATGTTCATAGTCTATGTAGAGCCCCTAATTATAACCATATCAATGTTATAAGTACCCCCTGTTAATTCAAAAGAATATTCTGTTTAAAAAAAAAGAAGAATGTATTCCTATCTAAAACCTTTTTTTAGGGCAAATTATTTACGGCAGAAGGAACAAAAATTTTGCTATCCCGATATATGAAAGATACTAAATTATATTTTATAGTTGATAAGAGGTAGATCCTTTACTTTTTCATTGGAAAATGTGGTCTTTAAAAGAAACATATAAGGTAGAATTCTACTTCAAGTAGTCATGAGTACTCTGTATAATCAGACAACTACTTCAGAAAAGTCCAGGAAGTAAATAAAAAATTCAAGTCAGACATAATTTGCATAAAATTCTTTTCATTACAAACTTATAGAAAATTGTGTTTCGTTGAACTTTTAAATTTGAGATTGATATATACCCACAAAATCAACAAAAATTGGTATCCCAAGAATAATAATAAATCACAGTATTTTATTCCAAATGAATAAATAATCACCTCCAAGTCTTTCTAAGACTGCTCCGACTACAAGTCCATTAGTGGTATCCACAACAGCCATGTTACAATTGGCTCGAACATTACTGTAGGTCAAAATCTGGGCTAATGTGTCAATTCTTATGTGGCTAAAAATAAAACAGTAGACCATAAAGAGGCAAATTTTTATTACAACTCATCTTTCATCTTTATTTCTAAGTTAGTGTAAAGGACAAACTAATTAAACTTGCAAATGCATGAGTATAAGTATGAGTTAAAAATCATATTTGAAAACCGGTATCACTTAATTATATCTGTAAATAAACATCAATTTTATTTCTATAGATTCTGGACGAAAACTAGGGGCAGACAAGCAACTTTCAGATCCTTTTTTTAAACAATTTATGAAAATAAGACTCAAGGTTCCTTTATTATCTATAGCAAAAGCTACAAAAAGTACAATATTAAATTGAAACTTGTTTATTCTTATTTTCAAAAAGTAAAATATGAAATGAAATTCAGTCCTTTTTGTAATATGTTGACAGTAACATTCAAAATTAAATAGCAGGGTGAAAGATCTGGTTTTAATCATACTGAATCTGCCATAAATTGACGCAAAATATCATGAGCAATCTAACTTCAACTTTCCACTGGTAAATAATTTTTCAAGCTTGATATTAAAGTATGACATGACAATGAACATCTTTAGGTATATGATAGTTCTATGTTTGAACATGACAGATAACATACCAAATTTTCTGTGGAGCTTTTCCATGGTACATTTCACAAAGTAATCTGGCTGTTGGTTTCAAAACTGTAAAAATTTGTAAATGTCTGAAAAATAAATTTTACTTAGTGTTAACATGGTTAAGGGCATACAATACAATTACAGGGGAGATTATAACAGTGCTAACAAAAAATGATATATTTTTGAAATGTCACAATGTGAAAATATGTTTGTTTTTCACTGATTTTAATCATTACTTACAAAAATGAACATAAACTCCTGTTTTTTTTTTATGAATTACATAAGGCTAAATTATACATGAAGACGATTATAAGTACAATTTTTTAATAAGAAAATCACAGTGATTTTTTTTTAAATTAGATGAATATACAACAGAAAATCTTTTTTTTCCTAAAAACATGAAAGTATAATAAATATGAAATCATTATCAGTTACAATATGTGTATTTTCTGGAGTCATTGTTTTTAAATATTGTCTCCCTGCCTCGATTTAAAGTAAGAAAATTGGCCATAGAAGCTAAATAAACAGTTCAAATAGCCTAATAGACTTGTCATTTTACTTTTTCTTCTTCTTCTTGATCCATTTTTCCTGTGCATATTCTGTTTTGTCCTTAAATGTTGTACTATTTTCTATCAGCTGACCAATAATTTTCTGTAAAATAAAGAATACCTTATTATCATGAACAAAAATTAGCTGTGTAATTTTTAAAACAGGCAAATGCAAAATGTGTATTAGTAGTATTTTTGTTGGAATACCTATTTTTGCTATTATCACATTTCAGGTTGCACATTGTAAATACAGCTGTTTCACAAACCACGCCACCTTTGGGGAGATATATAATAATCATAGATATTTTGTTTTGTTTACCTACTGGATCCCCAATATGATCTCTATGTTTCATCTCATAGAGACACAACTTGAAAATTTTACCAGCCAAAATGAATTCTGAGGAAGACCCAAAGTGAAGGGAGGGGTAGTACAGAATTCTAGTATAAGTTTAAACTCTTAGAATTTCGAGGCATATAAATGTTGAAAATATGCCGCACAGCCCTATGTTTTGACCTTTGAAAAAAATAGTTGTGCATATGAACTTTCCATTCTAGGATATAATATTTTAGTGAAAGTGGCACAGTTTTAGCCATAAAAGGAGTTCCTATGGAAAATTGCATTGACTATATTTACAGAAGTGCAACCTTCATAGGTTTCAAAATATGAAGGAGGCAAATTATTATTTATAACTAAAAAGATCATTAATTTTTAAATGGGATAAAAATACACTACAGAAGGGCAAAATTCCATGATACTTCTTCAATTTGGAAATCACAGGGTCAGTATGGAAGTAATGAAAATTCACCCCTGAAAACAGCAGAAATGATGTGATATTTTCATACATGTGTTAAAAAATGTGGATATAATTACTATGAACATATTATGACTACTAAAAAGGATGGCCTTTCAAAAAGATTGACAGAAATTAAAATAAATTTTAAAACAAAATCAAATATGCATGTCAATTTTTAATGAGACAATAGCCAACAATGCACTGAAACCAGGGCTCTCGGTCATAAAAGTTTTCTCAGTACTTCGGATACAAAAGTTGTGCTTGAAACACCAAATCCAGTACTCTGCTTGGTTGAATTCTGAGTCTGAGCATGAGAACCGTACTTGAAATTTTTATCACAAGGCCAGAAAATATCTTGAGTAATTCAACTTGGTGGTATTCCTATTTCAAACTTTATATTTTATCAATGTTTATAGATGTACAATTTTTATATCAAAAACTCATATAAGAATTAAATGTTTCATATTTTATGTCAATAATTAATTACCTCCCCTTCCATACCAGTCTTTTTCATTAGTTCAATATCATCACGTGACAGTTTCTGATTGGAATCTAAATCATGCAGTCCTCTGTTATCTTTTCCCTGTTCTGTTGCTAAAATGAGTGATATATCTTTATCATTATGCTATCCAATTAATCTTTACAAGAGGTCAATATGATATATATTGTGTTATAAATAAAAAACAAACTATAGACTGAGATCCAAACCTGAGGTCATTCTTGATCTGTTTTAGGTTCCTGGAAATACACTCTGGTATGAAAACAAAGTGTGGTAACTAAAAGGATAAGAAGACAACCTCATGCAAGATTAATGGGTTTTTTTTATGAGTGAATTCTTGCAATCTTCTTTCCAGAATTATGACTCCATCATAGAATCAACTAAAATCTGAAAAACAGTCAGGTGTTTTTGTCTTGAATACACCAAGATTCATTAAGATTGGCTATATCAAACAGTTGATAAATATTTCCTTACAGCTCTTCTATAAGATTTTGATCAACTTGCTTTACCTATTAAACAATCTATGTTTGTTTGGATGTTTGTAAACAAAAGGTAGGAAGTCTGTTTATTATATACTGGAATTTGATTGGACAATAAACATAACTTCATTGCATGTCAATTTTTATTGTCTAATCAAATATCAGTATATACAAAACAGACTGAAACTCCGCCTTCCCATTGTTTGCAAACATCCAAGCAAATATAGCAAGCAACTTGATCAAAGGTTTGCTTTGCATGCTTTTATAGAAGAGCTGTAAACATATTTATTCAAATAAATATGAAGGTAGTGATCAATTTTTTCACAAAAAAATTTGAGGCTTTACCTTAATCCACAACAATGTCAAAAGGGAAATAACTTGTTCAATAATTAGAACAAAAAATATGAGGAACATTTTAGCTTTTGTCCCTTATTTCAAAAGTCACATTCATGCTTTGAAGAGTAATCTATTCAATAACTTTTATTATTACTGATGTAAATGCATGATAACAATTTCGGTGCAAAAAACATGTTTCTTGTTAAATCTTCAAAAGCATGGGAAAATAAATGTACACTCACGAACAAAAGTGTGGGATGCCAACTGAATAATATTAGGCATCAAAACAAAAACACAATCTTAATAAAACAAACAAAACAGTCCAAGGTCAACTTTGCCTGAGGAAATTGCATTAATTTAAAACAACTCCACACAGTTTTTACAAAATATGAGTACCAGGTACTTGCAACTGGGTGGACGATTCCCTTAGAGACTTCCAAGTAAACCAAAAGCAGTACCAACATAGTGGTGGTAATCAAAATATATCATATTGCTTTCAATGTGCATGATACTGTTCTGTCTGAGTTAGGCACATTCTTTTCTAAACTTACACTGGAAAGCTTCATCTAGTTCCTTTTTGTTGACTTTTACCATTTCTCCATTTGTGACCCTGAAAGTTGTTCCATAACGATGTCCAATTACTCCATCTAATGTAAATTTCACTTTATCTAACCAAACAAATCTATAATGAAAGATAAATTGTACTTTCCATCAATAATTTGTAATTTACATGTAGCAAATTATTTGCAATATATAAAAGCAATTTTCCACCCAGTAAAAAAAGAGGTCTAACTCTTGCAAAATATTTCCTTCATTCAAATTTTCAAATGGATCAAAATTTCAGGATTTACGAAAGAAACTTCCTTGTCCAAGTACCACAGTGTTTACTTAAAATACCTACACTAAAGAGCAGGGCTTCCAAAAAATATTTGAGCCAGCCGGACATTTTATATCTTATCCCGATTTTAATCCCTTAAGACTAAGTCACAAAAGGCAATTATGGTAATCAGATGGCCATCCCAATGATTGACATTAGATTAAAAAAAAACGATATTAAACTTTACTTTGATGTGAATTTGATGTTCGGACGTAAACTGTTAAATTGGCAGTGCATAATTCGAAGTGGGCACATCAGCGTACTCATAACTGCCTTAGACTCTTTATTTGTGCAAAATTACGTTGTCAAAAACTTTACTTTCGTTTTTAAAATCACATTTTCCTAATACCGGATGTTGACCTGACAATGGTAAAACATGGACCAGAAACGGATACGTAAAATCTGTGTACGTTTACAAAGCACAACTGAGTGAAGAAGCTCTTTCCATGTTATTTCTTCAACAAAATACTTGAAATGAACGTTAGATACAGGTATCAATGATAATTTTTATCATTTTTTAAGAAATGTAGGATGCATAATTAAATTTCCCTACTGCGCACATGCGCACACATGTTCTAGTTCATACAACGTAGTTCTTACGATTTTTCATTTAAAACCTTTTTAAATTTTTCATCAAATCATGTTTATAAACGTATTTCTTATAATTTCAATCTTTTGGACTAAATCAATTAGATAGAATCCGCTGAAATGTAAGAAATTAACTTTGAATAGACCGATCAATTTATACGATGTCCGGTACTGGAAATAGTTTACCTGTCACCTGAACAGGTATATTTCAGCTGTCCAACAACTAATTAGCCTTGATTAAAATTAGAAAGTATTGAAGTAGGGGTTGTTTTGATAGTAATTAATCATCATGTCACTTTTATGACCTGAAATGTGTGGCTGTTAAAGGCAAAAGGTTGGGTCAAAAAGATCACGAATGAAAGAACCTTAGTGAGCGCGCTCACATACCCCACGTCCCGACATTGTAATTGGAGAAATAAAATAAGTGTAAGAAAAAAAAATTGAATCATAATTTGCTGTCAATATGCACATCTACATAGTATGTCCTTATTATCTACACAGTTTCATGAAATTCTGTTTTTTGGTTTAAGAGGAGTTGCGATGACAAAAGGTTGCAGTAGTATATTGGGCAAATAAGTTCAAATGGGCGTAATTCCTGGAAAAAAAATTGAATCGCAATTTCCTGTCGATATGCACATCTACCATGTGTACGTAGTATGTCCTTATTATCTGAAAAGGTTTCATGAAATTCTGTTGTGTGGTTTGAGAGGAGTTGCGATGACAAAAGGTTGCAGTAGTATATTGGGCAAATAAGTTCAAAGGGGCGTAACTCCTGGGGAAAAAAATTAATCGTAATTTCCTGTCGATATGCACATCTACGTAGTATGTCCTTATTATCTGAAAAGGTTTCATGAAATTCTGTTGTGTGGTTTGAGAGGAGTTGCGATGACAAACTGTTGCAGTAGTACATTAAAGTAAATAAGTTCAAAGGGGCGTAACTCCTAGAAAAAGAATTGAATCGTAATTTCCTGTTGATATGCACAACTACATAGTATGTCCTTATTATCTAAAAAGGTTTCATGAAATTCTGTTGTGTGGTTTGAGAGGAGTTGCCATGACAAGAAACAGGACTGACGGACTGATGGACGGACAGACAGACGGACAGAAGGGTCAAAAACATTATACCCTCCGCAACTCGTTGCGTGGGGTATAATTATGCTAAAATGACCGTCTCTTAAGAAAGCCTCGACAACTAAAAAGTAGATGACCGTTTCATGCTTTGCCCAGCCGGACTTTTACCTGACATTATACAATTGTCCGGAATATATGACCGTTTTGGAAGCCTTGCTAAAGAGGTGTAAAAAACATATGGAAAATAAATGGGGAATGTGTACATGGGACACAGATGATGCCCCCGCTTGCATATCATATAAAGTTAAAAAGGGACATGACTGAAGAACGGTAAAAGTGACGCTACCAAAATTTGTACTTGATCTGAGTTTTGTGGTAATGAAAGAACCTTAGTGAGCGCACTCACATACCCCACATCCCCACATTGTCATTGGAGAAATAAAATAAGTGTAAGAAAAAAAAATTGTATCAGAAAAAAAATTAAAAATCATAATTTCCTGTCAATATGCACATCTACATATATAGTATGTCCTTAATTTCCTGTCAATATGCTCATCTACATAGTATGTCCTTCTTATCAACACAGTTTCATGAAATTCTGTTGTGTGGTTTGAGAGGAGTTACGTTGACAAAAGGTTGCAGTAGTATATTGGGCAAATAAGTTCAAAGGGGCGTAACTCCTGAGAAAAAAATTGAATCGTAATTTCCTGTCGATATGCACAACTACATAGTATGTCCTTATTATCTAAAAAGGTTTCGTGAAATTCTGTTATGTGGTTTGAGAGGAGTTGCGATGACAAGAAACAGGACTGACGGACGGGTCATAAACATTATACCCTCCGTAACTCATTGCGTGGGGTATAATAAGTATTGTGTATATGTTTCATAACATTTGGTTGAGGCAAACTTAAGTTAGAGAACGGAAACGAAAAATTCAGCATTTTTCAATTTGTAAAGGGGCATAACTCTAGAACAGTTAAAGTGACAAGATCAATTACAAAATAAAAATAACAATTTAATTTTCAATATAACCTAATAAATGAAACACAATCATTTAAAACAAATATTGGGTACGAGTTGGTAAAAAAAGGGTATGAGTTGATTGAGTACAAGTTGGCAAAGGTCCAAGTTGACATGTATCAGACTTTCCAATGGATAGAAGCAAGTGCCTGTGGGCTACATTTGTATGTGTCAGTTCACAGTTGAGGTTTGTTTTATGTTAGGGCTAACATTAGATTTAGTTTTAAGGTTATTGTTAGTTTTATATAGCTCTACAGCGCAAATGATATGGGTAATTTAGAAGGGTAATTAAGGACCCCAAGTTTTGGGTCCTTAAATGGCTTAAGGTTCATCATAACAAATGGACAAATATGGCCAAATTTTCACCTCAAAAACTACTCTGTGTACAGTCTTACCTGTGCAGTTTGGAAAGTTTTAAGGCCTGGCATCCACTAAATATATATATGTTTAATGTATTTTGCATATCAGAAAAATAAAATCCTTTTTGGATTTTAATGCACATTTTTTTTCCTTCCTGCAGAAGGTGTAAAAATAAACTAAGTTGGGATACAACTTTGAGATGCTCCCTCTCAGGTTACAACTGGTTTGTATTGTATTGATTGTCCTTGATTGGCATGCTGACTGTGGGGTATGGGCTTTGCTCATTGTTAAAGGCCATACGGTGACCTATAGTTGTTAATTTCTGTGTCATTTGGTCTCTTGTGGAGAATTGTCTCATTGGCAATCACACCACATCTTTTTTATATATGGACAATAGATATCTACACATCTATAGGTGAGTTAAAGGTAGTAACCGAGTGGACAGTATCAAATTCAATTCAGGTGTTTGTTTATTTTTACACCCTACAGGACGAAAAAAAAAATGCCCATCAAAATCCAATAAACTGCTTCGCTGAGCGCAGCTAGATATGCCCGCAGAGGTCCAACCCTGAACAGTTTGGGCAAAAATGGACACAACATTCAAGCTTGATACAGGTCTGAATTTGGATTATTGAATATTGTCTGAAAACTGGAAAATCCCCCCTTTTTAAATGAATAAAACCCCATAACTCGGAAATGTAAAATCTAAAATTTATAAAATTCTAAAGGGAGCTTACATCAATAGATATCAACAATTCATCAAAGTTTCATGAGAACTGCTGAAAGCATTTTTGAGTTATTGTCCGAAAACTGGAAAAAAACCCTTTTTTTTATGAATAAAACCCCGTAACTTGGAAACATAAAATCTAAAATTTATAAAAGGGAGCTCATGTCAATAGATATAAACAATTAACCAAAATTTCTTGCAAGTTGGTGAAAGCATTCTTAGAGTTATTGTCCAAAAACTGGAAAATCCCCCTTTTTTTAATGAATAAAACCCCATAACTCTGAAACGTAAAATCTAAAATTTATAAAAAATGAAAGGGAGCTCATGTCAATAGATATAAACAATTCACCAAAGTTTTATGCAAATTGGTTAAAGCGTTTTTTGAGTTAATGTCCGACATGTTGACGACGGACAGACGGACGGACGGATAGACAGACAACGGTATACCATAATACCTCCTGTAAACGGACGTATAAAAATGATTTTTTCTTTCTGAAACGCAAAATGCATTTAACTTTTATATATCAAGTGGATGCTATACATGTCGGACATTAATTCTGATTCAGATTTGTTTCTAATGACTACCAACAAACAAGCAGTGTTAGTACCATGCTCAACAACCTTGGATGGGAAACCCTACAATCTCGAAGAGCCAAAGTTAAAACCATCTTACTATACAAGATAGTCATCCACCTCGTAGACATCCCAACAGAACCATACCTCATACCAACAGGTGTTTCCACTCGAGGACACAACACCAGATACCTCCAACCACACTGTCGAACCCTAGTATACCAACATTCCTTCTTCCCGAGTGCCATCAGAATTTGGAACTACCTGCCACAGCCACTAGTCAGTTTGCCAACCCTCGATGGGTTCAAACAGGCACTGGCTACCTCCACCGTCTCCTAAATTGTAATTATTGGTTTTTAACTGTAAATACTCTTTTTTTAACTGTATATAGAGGAGGGCTGTACTGCTATGCGTCAGTGTGAATATACTCAAAATGAGTCCTACACTTAACCAGAAGAAGAAGTAGGCCTTAAAACTTTACAAACTGCACAGGTCTGTCTGTACACAGAGTAGTTTTTGAGGTGAAAATACGGCCTTATTTGTCCATTTGTTATAATGTACCTTAAATACCCATATCACTATTATATCAGCTACAGCAACAGTTAGTAATCTTCAATATAAATGAAGCTGTAACTGTATACCAGAAGAAGAAGAAGAAGTAAAAGAGCTTATCGAGAGTTCCGGTTAATTTACATAATTAAACGTTTGTTAGTCAGATTTTTTCAGTATCACATACCTCTTCTTTTTAATCTGAAATACTTGACAACATTTTCCTTTCTTTAGTATCACCTGATCATTTTCAGACAACAATTTAGTTGAAGAAATGTTTTCTGCACATGCCATTTTAGAAAATGAAAGTAAATTTCGCTTTCAATTATGAACGTATTACGTAGTTTTGAAAATACCTTTTGGTAAACGCACAAATGACTTGGAAAGTGATGCGTAATCATGCAGCGACACCTATGTAAACAACTCCACGTGGTAACAGGCGGTTTCACTTTGATTATTGTATCCAGACTTCCAAAGCAACACCAACAAAAATGTAGACTGGACAAAAGAAAATGACAGATTCTTTTCTTTTCAGCAGACCCAGTTGTGGAACATTTTGTGAATACAGCCAAGTAAAATACCCAAAGTTTGTTCCTGTAGAGGAAACGAAGAAAAGCTACAAATTTCCTTGCAACAAAATTGATAAAGAAGCACCAAAATGCTGGTTTGATATACAAACTTGGTATACAGATTATCTTGATGAAAAGTCATTTAGAAAATTTGGAAAAAAGAAACTGAAAATATCCCTCAGTGATTCTGCTGTTGGAAGAAAGCAGTCTAAAGGATGTGAACATTTGTGTGAATTGAAACAGGTTTATTTTGATTGGACAAATAGAAAATCTTTAATTACAGATAAACGTTTTGGTACAAACAATTTCAAATACCTAACTACTGGGTCAGCTTATGAACAAAATGAAAGCAAACTTTCTGTAGAACTCTATATCAAAATAATGAAGCAACAACTGTCAACTTTGCGACTTTGTCATATGAAAACAGAATTGATTGTTCAATGTCTTCAATTGTTCTTCAAACCATATGATGATACAACAGTTTTATGGGTCACTGATCTGCAAACTTATACCGATAAAGCGAAGAAAAGTGAATGTAAAGACATTTTCAATGAACCTTTGACAGATAATTGTACTGATATGAAAGCTGTACTATACTTAGATAAATCTGCAGCTCGGCTCTTGAGACATAAGGATATGTGTGTTCTTGATACCCTTGCAACTATAATTGAAGTAAGAAAAGACAAAATAATGATCCTTCCAATGTCTATCCCATGTGTATCTGCTACAGATCAGACTGCTGTATAAAGGAGTAATTAAAACTAAAAAAAAATTTACAAATCATGTTTTCTATTTTATGTCCATCTAAAATTACTGTATATTCAGAAATTAATGCTTGCATTTATTATTGCTAATCACTGATTACTGGTACAAATGTGTGTCTAACTAGTATGAATGCAAAAGTTTTGTGAAGGAAAATCCCAAATGAAATTATGAGTTTTTATTATTGCAAACCTGATACTATCACATTTTCACATTATTAAAAATATTGTAATAATTTCTGAATTCACAATATCAAAATTATTAAAACTTCAGCATTCCCATGGGGAACCAACTGTGCACCTCTTCTTGCCAATTTTTTCCTTCATTCATATGAGGCAGACTTATATACTCCATACATGTATGCAGGCGCTGCTGGAACATAACTACATAGAAATGGAAATAGATAGAAGAAGATGTGGTATGAGTGCCAATGAGACAACTCTCCATCCAAGTCACAATTTGTAAAAGTACACCATTATAGGTCAAAGTACAGCCTTCAACACGGAGCCTTAGCTCACACCAAACAGCAAGCTATAAAGGGCCCCAAAAATGACTAGTGTAAAACCATTCAAACAGGAAAACCAACGGTCTAATCTATATAAAAAACGAGAGACGAGAACACTTATGAACCACATCAACAAACGACAACCACTGAACATCAGGTTCCTGACTTAGGACAGGTGCAAACAAATGCAGCAGGCTAAGTTCATAATTAATACGATATACCAGAGTTTGCATTTCCTATCATGATTTCCTTGATAGAGGGTTGCTGATTATAAGGAAGCTATCAAACCAAGAGTTCCAAGTGGTCGCCTTGAAGAGTTGGTTGACCGATATGGAATATGATTCACAGATGACTGATACAATCCAAATGTATTCTTTTCCTCGAATGAGATCTTCTGAATTAGACTTATCACCTGGTTTTTACTTATATGAGCAATAAGACGTGTGCCACATGTGTAGCAGGATCTGCCTACCCTTCCGGAGCACATGAGATCACCTCTGGTTTATATGGGGTTCCTGTTGCTCAGGCTTTAGTTTTCTAAGTTGTATTACGTAGACTGTTATTTGTGTTTTGGTTGTTCTAATTTTTTTGCCATGACATTGTCTGTTCTTTTTGACTTATGAGTTTGACTATGCCTTTGGTATCTTCCACCTATCTTTTACAATTTCACAACAGGTCAATCTGGTCAAAATTGAACAAATGTCATTTTTAAATTGTACAAAAGGCCTCAAATTGTTGATTAAATACAAGGCATATAGTCCCATTAACTGCCTTGTTTTAAGTCATCATTTTAACCCATATAAATTGCTGTTTTACATTTTGTTATGTAGAGGTCCTACTTGGTACTCCCAAAAAATCCAAACAAAATTTGATTCTATATTTAAGGAAAGGAATTTTTTTTACAGATTTAAAAAAAAAAAATTTTGTACGTGTGATTAAATGGAAATATGGGGTAAAGATAGTAAAGGTCAATGAGGCAGCAACGTCCAAAATAATTCCTCTTAGATTCCAGAGATCAAAATATGGTCGGACTCTAGAGATCAAAATACGGTTTTCAACAAAAGTGTCCATTCAATAATGTAAAAAGAAACTTGTGAAAAACTGGCACTGCCAACTGATGCTCCATGAACTGCACATTTATTGAATAGAAAAAACCTTTTATTTCAAGGGTTCTGAACCATTCAATATACTAGTGTGCTATTTTTCACCTGTACAAAAGTATTACAATTAATATAATTGGATACTTGAAATATTATCCAAAACAATGACAAAGCAAGGTCTATATGCTCAATAGAGTATAAAGTCAGGTATCATGAAACCAAAACTATAACCAATACTTCCTCCAGAGTCCAAATATACCTGGAAACCATTTTGGTTAATTCACAGGGCAGGGTCTGGGCCACATGGCCAATAATATTGCTTAAATAAACAAAAGGCTCCAAAGAGCATGAATTGATCATCTGGATTTTTGTGTGTGTTTCAATGATTATTTTGCTGTTTAATGTATATAAATGCATTTAAACATGCCACTTAAAAGTGTCTCTCCATCATAGTTTCTGTAAAAAACTAAAAAAAATGGTACAAATTATTATAAAGGACAATAACTCTTTAATATAAGGGGTTAATTGACAAATTTGGTTATTTGACTTATTTGTAGATCTTACTTTGCTGAACATTTTTGCTTTTTTAAGATTCTGTCTATCTATTGATGTTTCTGTAAAATACTAAAAACTAGAGGCTCTCAAGAGGCTGTGTCGCTCACCTGTATTTACTGAAGCTTTGTAAATCATGTAAAATAAGGTTAAAATCATAATTAATAGTATTAGATATTAGATATTATAATTATGATATCTTAGATAATAAACTGCAAAATTTTTGTAAAATTACTAACTCAGGGGCAGCAACCCAACAACGGGTTGTCGGATTCGTCTGAAAATTTCAGGGCAGATAAATCTAAATCTGATGAACATTTTTGCCACCTGTCAGATTTGCTCTAAATGCTTTAGTTTCAGAGATATAAACCAAAAACTGCATTTTACCTCTATGTTCTATTTTAAACCAAGTCGGCCATGATGGTTGGAAGGCGGGGTCATCGGACAATTTTTTAAACTAGATACCCTAATAATGATTATGGCCAAGTATGGTTAAATTTGTCTCAGTAGTTTCAGAGAAGAAGATTTTTGTAAAAGATAACAAAAATTTACAAAAAATTGTTAAAAATTGACTATTAAGGGCATTAACTCCTAAAGGGGTCGACTGACACTTTTGGTAATGACAACTTATTTGTAGATCTTACTTTGCTGAACATTATTGCTGTTTACAGTTTATCTCTATCTATAATAATATTCAAGATAATAACCAAAAACTGCAAAATTTCCTTAAAATTACCAATTCAGGGGCAGCAACCCAACAACAGATTGTCAGATTTGTCTGAAAATTTCAGGGCAGATAGATCTTGACCTGATAATCAGTTTTACCCTCTGTCAGATTTACTCTAAATGGTTTGGTTTCAGAGATATAAGCCAAAATCTACATTTTACCCCTATGTTCTATTTTTAGCCATGGCGGCCATCTTGGTTGGTTGGCGGGGTCATCGGACACATTTTTTAAACTAGATACCCTTATGATGATTGTGGCCAAGTTTGGTTAAATTTGGCCCAGTGGTTTCAGAGGAGAAGATTTTTGTAAAAAGCTAACGACGACGGACGACGACTACGACGGACGACGGACGCCAAGTGATGAGAAAAGCTCACTTGGCCCTTCCGGCCAGGTGAGCTAAAAATTGTAAAAATCCTCTTTCAAGGGCAATAACTCCTATAAGGTATCAATTAATGATTTCGGTCATATTAAATAATTTGAAGTTTCTATCTATCATAGTTTCTGCAAAAAAACAAAAAACAAAATTATAATAATCATCTTTCAAGGGCAATAACTCTTATAAGGGATCAATTGACGAGTTAGTTCATGCTGAATATTTGTAGGTCTTACTTTGCTGAACATTTTTGCCAAGAAGTTTCTATCTATCATAGTTTCTGCAAAAAAACAAAAAACAAAATTATAATAATCATCTTTCAAGGGCAATAACTCTTATAAGGGATCAATTGATGATTTAGTTCATGCTGAATATTTGTAGGTGATACTTTGCTGAACATTTTTACAGTTTGAAGTTTCTCTTATCTTTCATAGTTTCTGCAAAAAAATTTTAAAACTTTTAATTAATTGTCTCTCAAGGGCAATAACTTCTATAAGGGATCAATTGACAATACTTTGCTGAACATTTTTGCCATTTAAAGTTTCAATTTTCGGTCTATCTAACATATTTTCTGAAAAAATTTTAAAATTTAATAAAAATAGTCATTCAAGGGCAATAATTCCCATCAGGGATCAGTTGACGAAATGGGTCCTCATACTTATTGGTAAATCTTACTTTTCTGAACATTGCTTGTTGCTTTTTAAAATTTTAAAAATTTATCC